TGCAAACTACGTAACAGATATCTTCGAATAAAAATATCAAGCATATTATCAATCTGATAGGTCTTACCTTTTGTTTTCTTACAAAGTATAATTTGTCCTTTCCTATATATTTGTCACGTTGTTAGAAAGTTTTGTGAAACAAAGTGAAATTAATTCTTTTGCTTCATCTTCAAGTTGATAATGGGGAATTCGTTTGTCAAAGGTAGATATCAAATAATAGGAAATGCTGAATTTTAAACTATGCAATAAAGTATTCAAAATCAGTTATCCTATGTTTAAATCTAATCAGTGGATTATAAAGGTACAAAACTAGGTAATATACAAAAACTGAGGTCAAAAAATTACACACAAAATGAAAAAAATAGCTGGGTCAAACTACTGGTCAGATGCCATTTCTGGTATCTAAAGGTTTAAGACCGGGAACGTATGTCGTAAGAGATTTGTAAAGTCAATTGTATAGACCAAACCATCCGTGAAGGTGACATATATATACTTTTATCCCCGGCTTAGTATATTTCTAGGATTCTGATTGGTTAACGCACGTCGTTACAAAACCCATAGCTCCTGGGTGTTGCTAACCCATATCCCCGGACGTTGCTACCCATTACATAGGGGAATTTCACGCGCGTTTTCCTTAGTTCCATGGTTGTTCCTTATGAAATATCGAATTCTGTAGATTTTCCATGATGTCTGTATAATTAAATATTTAATCCACTAACGATTTTATCTTATTATATCGATTATTTGCACTCATTTTAGTAAATGCATCACTATACAGCCACATTGTCAATGAATGGTACTACTGACTTAGCTATGCAAATGACCCACGTTGACGTCACACCGTTTATGATGTAACTCTCACAACATTGCGCGCCAAATTCGACCTATTTCAGTTTCTCTGTCTCTAGTTTAGAAACGTCTTATATTTGTCTACCTGTAGGGTTCTACCACCCTAGTACCCTACACCCCGTTAAAAATATGTCAAATTCCCAAATTTCAATAAAAGATATTTAAAAAATGAAAAAAACGTTGCTTTCACGTTTAACCCTGTGGTCGAATTTCTCTAAAAATCGCCAGATTATACTAAGACCGGGGATAAATTGGTTATCTACGGATATGAACGTAGATAACTTATAATAAAGTTTTGAATACAGCCGTTCGTCCTCGTTACTTTGTTGGGGATGGTTTTGTGTAAGAAGTCATTAAATTGTGAACAGAAACGAAAGTAACATATTCATCTTTTGGTCCTTTTCTGTTGTTTTTTTGTAAAAAGAAATTGTGAGATATTTGCCATAAAACCTGAATGGAAGATACTCCACTGATTCAAGGTTTCTGAAGAAATGCAACGATTTAATAAATGGAAGTATATTAGCGTTAAACGATTTGGCGGTTTAACACCATAACGTATGGAAAGCGTGAATAATTCAAAGTAGGAATATCTCTTCCAAAATTGTAAACCTTCTGGAATGACAAAGCAAGATGGAAACACAGTTGAACAAATCAGTTGTATCTGCTGTATTAAATGAAATATGTACATGTTTTTTTTATTGAATGTTAAAAATCTGTTTAATAACTGATCAAATTTTAATAATAAGATTAAATACCGACTGCATGTCGATATAGTTTCTTAAATAATTAATTCATTTTGCTATATCTTAAATTTCAGATATCATTCAGCCTAAGAATCACACAATAATGAACATGATTACGAACGAACAAATCACCAATATCTAGAGTTAATAGAAATTTCACAGGAACGTCATTATTCTGATATAAAGGATGATGAGGACGACTTTCGAATTAATGAAAATGATGATGGAGATGATAACGAAGAAATTGAATGATGTTCGTCAGCAATTATCCTACCTTTTTTATCTCGTTCAATGCTATTCCCATGCTTATTGAACAAAAATGTGACCTACACTATATCATTTTTAAAATTTTGGTTCATTTATATGTTTCGGAGTTATGTGTGATTTTTGTTTAGGAGCCAGCTGAAGCACGCCTCCGAATGCGGCATTTTCTGGCGGTGTTCAAGATCTATCATTGGCCGAGGACTATTTTCTGCGCTTTGGTGGAGTTGTTGCCTCTTTGACACATTTCCCGTTTCTATTCTCAATTTTACACTTTACTATCTTGCATTACGCTAATAACATTTATCGTTCCTACATGACAAATTTACACATGCCGGGTTATATCCTCTAATTTTTGTTAGGATTGACTTTGAAACATGCAATTTTGCACAATTGTTGTCTAAGGCAGTTTTGAATACGGTTTTAGAAAATACAAAATTGTTTTGTTAGATTTTTTATATAAGTACAGCATACATTACCTCTATGTCACCTGAGTTCGATAAAGATTTCCGAATGGGGAAATACTTATCATTTTGAAGATTTGTGTTAAATACTTTATTTGTAAATTATATTTGATTGTTCACTTGCTCCGACAAGAAAAATGTTTCAAACAAGAAAACTGACGTCCTAATTCATGACGAATCTCTGAAAGATATCTGAAATACCAGCTTATGACTTGGTACAGGGTTACAAGAATTTTAATGGTTCAAATCTGTATGACCCTGTCTCATATTTGGAGCCTGTAGTTCAGTGGTTGTCGTTAGTTCATGTCTGTCATATTTGTTTTCGCAATTGTTTTGTTGTAATTAGGCCGTTAATTTTCTCAATTGTATTTCTCAAATTTTTTATAAATAGTATAGCCGACTATATTGTATGGGTATTTCTCTTTGTTGAAGGCTTGTAATTGGTTACATCCACTTCATTTGAACTTTGATGGATAGTTGTTTCTTTGGCAATCATACCACATCTTTTCATTTTTGTAGTGTGAGCGCTAAAACCTCGCTCTTAAAAATACACAAGAGTTAAAATAATTTGCGAATGGCTCAACTCAATGGATCGGTACAGATAAAAAAAATGTATAAAAGATTCTACTACGGTGTTAAATTGATTACCTTAAAAAATAAGTTTGTTCAAAGGATTAATGAGTTTGATCGCATCTAAATTAATGGATTCTATTAACAACATCAATATAAAAAGTAAGTTTTATTTACTGATATTCAGAAGAATTCTACAGAAACAACCCATATTTTGTTAGCAAATATGTATATCTATGAAACAATATAGTAACAGTATTAGTTATTTTTTGGTGACGAAATCCCAAATTTAATAAATTACCAGTTGCACACAAACATGCGATGCGACTGTCGTACAAGTGAGAGGTTTAGCGCTATAAAACAAGGTTTAATCCACCATTTTCTACATAATAAAATGCCTGTACCAAGTCAGGAATATGACTGTTGTTGTCCATTCGTTTGATGTGTTTGTGCTTTTGATTTTGACATTTGATTAGGCACTTTCCGTTTTGAATTTTCCTCGGAGTTTAGTATTTTTGTGCTTTAACTTTTTACACAATCATTGAATTCCAAAACGTCACAACAGACACGAATGTGACAATGGTAATGAGCAAGTTTTGAAATGTACACATCGTTATTATGGACCGATGGTACATCCCGTCCAAAAAGAGCAAAATAATCGATAGGGAACAATAAACCATACCATATGAAACCGACATAGGAAGCCATAAGAACGTCGTTGTACTTACGTTATTACATATGTCACTTTTTTTACATTTTAGATCTAGCCTTCAGATTTAACATTTACACCAAAACAATATTTTTTTAGGTGCGCTTCTAACACAAAATGCTTTAACAGTGTTTGTTTTTCATATTATTTACCATTGTATTCATATTTGACCTTATTTGTTCTATATTGAGAAAGTATAACTAAACACTAAAAGTGATATGTACTATCAACCACAGAAACTTTTTTGTTGGTGTCTTCGTCAAATTTACTACTAACTGTACAATTTTTTGTTGGCGTCTTTGTCAAACTCACCTTCAAGTACAACAACTGGTTTGTTCCATCCTTGTTAGATTTATTTGTGTGTATGAATAATGTACTTGCTCACCCAGTTTTGTCCCAAGAAAATGTCTGAAGCAAGCGAGTCAGTTGTTTTCAATTCCTTCTGTGGTTTGATAACGTATGATTGTGTTAGTTTTGCTGGACTTTCCTTGGTGGGTCGTATGTTTGGTTTATTTTTATTTTGTTTGTAAGTGACATATGATAATAAAGATGGTGACAATATAAAAAAAACAAATGATTTGTTTAAAATTTGCAAATTTATATTTTCGCACATATTACATAAACTGAAAGTGTTCTATCCGTTACCTGTATTTTGTAAAGGAAGGTGTCAAAAATTTTATTGTATATGAGTCCTCTTATTCTGAAAGTCTCAGAAAAAATCCTGAGTAAACTTCATTCGCATTTTTTTATTTGAGGTACATTTATAATTAAAAAAGTACGTTTCACATGTTACATATTATTCAATATTAAAAATACTAGTTTTTATCAGTTTAAATACATGTGATTATGATTAAACTTAGATGCAGTATGATTGCCTAAGAGACAAATCTTCATAGGAGATTGGTTTTGAACTGATTTGAAAAAGTAAGCACAGTTCTCTTTTTATTAACTTTTGAAACGGGAAAGAAGGACAAAAGGAGTCAACACCAGTACAATACGCTAACGATGACAATAGAAAAATTCATAATAGATATTTATGCGTTCAATTAAACGATGATTGAGTAATATTGTTTAAAAAAAATTATACTGAATTTCATCGGATAAACACACAAACAAGGTTACTGCAAAATTAACCCGAAAGACTAAAACTACCATCAATGAAAACAACAATTTGCTTTAATTATTCACTGTATAATATATTTCGTAAACATTTAGTCTGAATTGGGCATCGCTTTCTACACTGATCCATTTAACTCCTATGCTCATTCCAAATCAACATCAAAATCATATAGTCAAACACAAGTGAATACAAAGACAAACGCTCATAATTAATTGATAAATGGCAAAACAGAGGAATATCAAATATAAACGAAGAATGTTTTGAGACATCCAGCTTATGCATTATTTTATGAATTTAAATTTACATTTGATTAAGAGGTTATGGATAAGATTGTCTAAAGAATTGAATTAAAGGATTAAAACTAATAAATAATAATATGTCAGGTATGTACCATAAAGGCACTTCCTCAATGTTGTGACTTTCTGTTTATGAATAAATCTTGTAGAAATGATCTGCCGACGACAAATTTTAACTTTTGACCCAACATGTTAGTCTGTTTAAACCAATTGAATAGGGAGTCGATATTTTGATTCGAATATAAACTGTAACAAAACAATAAAGGGGCGATAATGTAGTTTATGTGCAAGAACTAATCTTTCAGCCATTTAAACTTGTGTAATACTGGTCATGACTTTTGAATAAAATCAATGTCTTTTCACTTATTTATTTTTTCAACTTACTTTCAGCATAAAGAATATAATTCTAATCTAAGTTACACATTCTAGACAAAATAGCACTACAATTATGAAGGATTTTAATTGAACTATAGATACGTGTCAATTTTCTTCAAATTCCGGCTACATCATGTACATTGTTTACATTCTTCTTTAATCTTTATCGTCAGTTTCTGAAAACCAAAAATATGTTTTCAAATAAACTTAATATAACGTTGAACTGTAAATGCAAATAACAATGTTTGTGCACACGAAGAACTTTTGCAGTTACGTTTAAACACCTAGAATATGGATATCTTTTAAAAATAATTTATATTTTTTATTAGACACGGATTCACAGAATTTCTAAATAAAAGCAACAGTAGTATACCGCTGTTCAACAGTCATAAATCGATTGAGAGAAAACAAATCCGGGTTACAAACTAATACCAAGGAAAACACATCTAAATGAGTAAACGAAATGTAGATAACAACTGTCAAATTCCTGACTTGGCACAAGACGTAAGACCTAACAAAGGCAACTTGTCGCCTGATTGATATTTGTTTCAGTTACAACACAGATAACAATAGTTTTATAGAGAATGCATGTCTTGTGTCTTTTTTTTAAAGCACATTGGTTCAATCTTATTTGAGGGGAGATGTATTTTTGCAAGCACGGCAACTATCCAACTGAGACCAAATGAAGTGCTGGAACAGAAACGATCAAATGTTAATAATAAGATTAAATACCGACTGCATTTCGATATAGTTTCTTAAATAATTCTTTCATTTTGCTATATCTTAAATTTCAGATATCATTCAGCCTAAGAATCACACAATAATGAACATGATTACGAACGAACAAATCAACAATATCTAGAGTTAATAGAAATTTCACAGGAACGTCATTATTCTGATATAAAGGATGATGAGGACGACTTTCGAAATAATAAAATGATGATGGAGATGATAACGAAGAAATTGAATGATGTTCGTCAGCAATTATCCTATTTTTTTTTATCTCGTTCAATGCTATTCCCATGCTTATTGAACGAAAATGTGACCTAGACTATACCATTTTTAACATTTTGGTTCATTTATATGTTTCGGAGGTATGTGTGATTTTTGTTTAGGAGCCAGCTGAAGCACGCCTCCGAATGCGGGATTTTCTGGCTGTGTTGAAGAACTATCGTTGGCCGAGGACTGTTTTCTGCGCTTTGGTGGAGTTGTTGCCTCTTTGACACATTTCCCGTTTCTATTCTCAATTTTACACTTTACTATCTTGCATTACGCTAATAACATTTATCGTTCCTACCATGACAAATTTACACACGCTGGGTTATATCCTCTAATTTTTGTTAGGATTGACTTTGAAACATGCAATTTTGCACAATTATTGTCTAAGGCAGTTTTGAATACGGTTTTAGAAAATACAAAATTGTTTTGTTAGATTTTTTATATAAGTACAGCATACTTTACCTCTATGTCACCTGAGTTCGCTAAAGATTTCCGAATGGGGAAATACTAATCATTTTGAAGATTTGTGTTAAATACTTTATTTGTAAATTATTTTTGAATGTTCACTTGCTCCGATAAGAAAAATGTTTCAAACAAGAAAACCAATGTCCTAATTCATGACGAGCCACTGAAAGACATCTGAAATACAGGCTTATGACTTGTTACAGGGTAACAAGAAATTTAATGGTTCAAATCTGTATGACCCTGTCTCATATTTGGAGCCTGTAGTTTAGTGGTTGTCGTTTGTTCATGTCCGTCATATTTGTTTTCGCAATTGTTTTGTTGTAATTAGGCCGTTAATTTTCTCAATTGTATTTCTCATATTTTTTATATATAGTATAGCCGACTATACTGTATGGGTATTTCTCTTTGTTGAAGGCTTGTAATTGGTTACATCCACTTCATTTGCACTTTGATGGATAGTTGTTTCTTTGGCAATCATACCACATCTTTTCATTTTTATAGTGTGAGCGCTAAAACCTCGCTCTTAAAAACACACAAGAGTTAAAATACTTTGCGAATGGCTCAACTCAATGGATCGGTACCGATAAAAAAACGTATAAAAGATTCTATTACGGTGTTAAATTGATTACCTTAAAAAATACGTTTGTTCAAAGGATTATTGAGTTTGATCGCATCTGAATTAATCAAGATCTGGTTTGATTGACAATGAGACAACTCTTCACAAGAGACCAAATGACAAAGAAATTAACATCTATCATATCTATAGACCACCGTACGGTCTTCAACAATTAGCAAAGCCCATACCGCATAGTCAGCTATAAAAGGCCCCGAAATTACAAATGTAAAACAATTTAAACGAGAAAACAAACGGCCTAATTTATGATATGAACGAAAAACAAATATGTAACATTGTAACAAACGACAGCCACTGAATTACGGGCTCCTGACTTGGGACAGGCACATACATACAGAATGCAGCGGGGTTAAACATGTTAGCGGGATCCCAACCCTTCTCTTTTAGAAGAACTATAAACATCAGTTGAAAAAGGCCTAACTCATCAGATGGATACAAATAGAAATACATCTAACCAAAACACACAGTGGACGTTGTTGGACACCTGCATACCCCAACAACATAAAGACAAAGGTCTGAGACTACTAGCAGTCACTGTCATAAGTCTTATGTTGTAGGTAAATCGTACTTTATTCGATTCCTTAGTCATTTTACTCCAATTTGGGTAATTGTAACTTTTTACGAAAGCTATGTTACAACGACCTATCTAAGTGACACACTGTCACTTTTACTTTAAGCAAGAAATTGTGATCTGAGGTTGTTTCCTCTCTGTATTTTTAATCGTGGAGGCTTATTTATGCAAAAAGTTTATCATAAGCGGTGTCTGTGTGAAACAGATTGAACAAAAATGCAAATCACATTAATTGAATTAATAATTGAAGAGGGTCAACAAGATTAACGGTATTACATTTAAATATTACCTCTCAAACTCTTAACGCACGAATATATCGAACTCACGTGAGAAAATGTCCACAGTGAATGGACGATTACAAAGATTGCGGTGAAATGGAATAAAGCTTTTGTTTTTGCTATAGGAAGTATGTTTACTTGAGGACTCAAATGATGTATGACGTATTTACTAGAAAATTCATGTAATAAAATTTTGAAAGGGAAACGTGCCGTCCAATGTTTCCATGATTTCTATATAAACTGCGCTCGGACGTCCCCCGGCCTATGTTACTTATGAAAATGTCGTTAGACATAAGAGCAATATATTTCTGTGGTGAAATTCTTCCTTCATTTAAATTTTTTGTCTTTCCTTACCTTGACTATTTGGATCGATGTTTAAACTGGATCGTTCAGATTGTTCAGGTTGTTTACCTACAAGAAGGAAACAAGCGTCAAAGAACATGAAGAATGTTATAAAAAAGAAAATATTACTGCAATTATAAAATAATATTTGATATTATAACAGACCACATCAACCATCTCCGAAACTTTTCAGAAAGTACAGAGATCCAGAATTGTATATCGTAATGTCAAGGGGTCAAAGGATGTATGTTTGAGCACAGTTGTGCATTAAAAATGAATACTACATTTGTTTTCCTAATTATACAATGAACTATTTTTATATTATCAATTTCAAGCTTAAATTTAAATACAATTATTTTGGTAAGCATGCGTTTTGTTGACATCTGTGCAATTCGCAGTCTATCATTTTTAATACTATACTTGTGATTCAAGGGTTTTATAAGGAACTTGGTTTGCGTTTTTCTAATGAGCTTTTATTGTATTGATATATACTTTGGGTTTTACAATAATTTGCTCCATGCGCACTTATTGAGATAAGTGCGTCTATGTTAAAACAAAAAAGCAGCAGTTGTACTTTAATCTAGTTATGTGTCCTTTGACTTATTAACATAATACATGTACCATTTAAATATTACGTTTTATATTACAAAATGCCTATAAAATCGGACCGTCAAATATTTATGGATTTTGATAAAGTATTGATAAATATTTAGAAATGAATATAATTTATCTGATCATGTAGCAATTAGTGGACGCAAATAATGTCATTCTAAATTTCAATGATTAAGACTGAACATTAACAAAAAAAACTGATTAACAATAGCTTTATTTACATGTGTTTACATAATTGAAAAAAGTAATATTAACTTAAAAGATAAAAATGAATCAAAGCTGAACCATTCTGCTGTAAATACGTATAATTTTTATGCAGATACAAACCCAATCTGTTTCTTTTTCTTGGCAATAAATTACATAGCACAAACATCAGAACAACCCAAAATCCATAAATTAGGAAAAAGTATTTATCTGTAATAAAAATTGCAGTATATGTATTGCGTAATTGCGTATGAAGAAACACAATTCACGAATTTATACTTATGTATATATGTTAACGTATGAGTAGGGTGTCGTCGGTTGAGGTTCTTAACTGTAGTATATTGTCTTTGACTCCTGTTATACTTGTTTATGAAGCATTATATCCCTTCGTTTTCATAAATCATGATGGTTAAAATATAGGTTTCAAATAAAAACAATATACGCATTTGCAAATAAGATATAGTACTTTAAAGACCTTACCTTTGCAATTCTTTTGCAGCAGTCCAATATATAAAGGAATAATAATGCCGAGACTAAACAATGTTATCCCAATAAATAGTTTTGAAAGACCTGAAAATAAAAAAATAAAAAATATTAAACGTGAATATTTTCAATAATAATCATGAGTTGTTCACTATCAACAAGCAAATACATATTAATTTTAAATAATGTAAACATTTTCTCATCTCAAGAATTAAACATGAATTTATTTTCGAATACACAAATTTACTTTCATTCCATGGATGTTAATTTAGCATTTGTTATCATAATATAAAATATGTAATTATTTATTTAAAACTTAATTATTTCTCTTTATTTTAGTCTTTGAATGCATTAATTCGCGGCCTGGTGTGGTTTTGAGAACGAATGAACGGACGAAAACAATTTAGTTTCCCGATACGTTGGGTATGTGCCTAACAGAAGGAATGTTCACCCGGTCTGAAATTTTCTAATTTTGGAATAGTAGTACTTGTAATCTGAAAATCTAAAGATTATGACTTATTCCCTGTTTTGACATTTTGACCAAACTAGGACTAGCATGACGGATAATGCATGCCAATCAGGAGATGCTTTCGCTGTTGATGTAAATGATCTCACCTCTAGGTTTTTGAACATAAGTAAGCTATTGCTGCCTCTGTTTGCAAAATATCTTTATTACCTGCATTGTTTATAGAACGATATTGCTTTTCGATGGTGCATCAATTACAGATTTATATTTTCAAAAGCCTTATTCTTAATTCAGTGCTTATCGTTGTCTTTGATTTTTGACATTCCATATTGTACTTTGATATCAATTACGGATCTGGAAATTACAGAAACAATTCAAGGAAACCATCAGTTTCTGCAATATGTTTGAATTTATGAAAGTTTGAGTACAATTCAGCGATTTAAAGATGGCGGAATTAACAGAACCTTGCTGCAGTAGTACACTATCCAATTGTATCCTCTGTTCTCGCTATCAATTAACGCTTAACTATGTGTGTCATATATTGGCTTTTACTCACAACAAACAGTTCGTCGTGTCCGCTTAGATAATGTTTTTAACATATTACAAATGGCCTTTTGTTTTAATTAAAGTATCATTGTCAATCGTGGAACTGAAGAGAAAGTAATGACATAAATTACCAAAGCGAACATTAGAGTGAAACACACAGAAGTTCTTCCAACAAAAGTCATCTCTTCTACATTCCCTTTCCTCTAGAAATGACTCTTAAATTACATAATAATAATCAATTGAGGAGCATTCAAAAGTCACAATTTTTTCAAAAGAACTTGCTGTTATGTTTTAATGTGATTGTTTGTGAATGAAATGTTTTTATTGTATAAAATATTTATATTGTATAAAATGTTTATATTGTGTAAAATGTTTATTTTGTATAAAATGTTTATATTGTGTAAAATGTTTATATTGTATAAAATGTTTATATTGTGTAAAATGTTTATATTGTATAAAATGTTTATATTGTATAAACTGTTTATATCATTTGTACATTGTTTAAAATGGTTATATTTCGTATCTTTTGGTCTTTTTTGCAATGCGGTTGTCAGTGTTTTTTATGAGAGTAAGTGTTCCTGTGGTACCTTTTGCCTCTTTTTCTCGTTTCTAGATAAAAAAAATATGACAAATGATTAACACATTTTTCCCTCAGACACTTTCCTCAATTGAGAAAATTTAGACTTGTAGCTATTTATTTTCTTTTTTATGGTCAATTATACAACTCTAAAGTTAATATGTTTTGCACCGTCCAAAACACAAAGATCTTTTTATTAAGACATACATCGCATAATCGTATAAACAAAACATTTTTGAATATTTTTTGTGTATTCTCTTTTTACTGTTTTCGGTTTCCACGCTAGCGACGAAAGACGCATGTGACGTACTATATTATAAACAAATTGTTGCAAAAACCAACCCAAATTTATGCAGGTTATCATCCAGAGATCAGAGGAACACACCAGTTTAGTAGCCAGCGCTCCAGTGCTTACATGGAATATCCTTGATAAGATCATTTTCTGTAAATCTACCGTTTCTAAATAAAGGCAACAGAAGTGTATCGCTGTTCAATAGTCATTAAGCGGAAACATATCCGGGTCACAAACCAAAACCGAGTGAAACACATAAACTAAGAGAGGAAAACATCGGAACAGCAAAATCACTGAACTGCAACGAAAACAAACGCTAAAAGTACATAGAAACGGACTGTTATATAAAACTTATTATGATTCTAAACACTTGATTACTTAGAAACAAAGCGAAAGATACCAGAGGGACATTCAAACTGCAGATCCTGCTCCATAAATAGAAACGGAAAGTTCACAATTTGGAAGCTGAAATCATCTCTTTTGTCGTAAAGTTTTTTTTCCAACCGACCCTCATTGTCAATATCTAGATGTAAATCAAGATATGATGCAGACTTAACAGTATCTGTTGTATCCTTTATCTCAAGTGTTTCTTTTTGTAGCAAATGTTGTTTTTATTTTTTTTTTAAATTGAGCTCCGCTTGTGTTTTTATTTTGTAAAAAAACAGCCGCTATGACGAACGTCAAACTTTTTTGCATCTTATGTAGTAGTTCTAAAATATATGTCGACTTCGATGTTCATATCATCGTAGTTTACTGAGCATAACAATACAAGACTGAGCAGATATTATTCGCAGAAAAGTTAAGCGAAACAAATATAACAAATTATATCGAATCATATATCAAAAGTGCGATGACTGGCTATGAAATAACCCGATATCAACAACGTAGTACAAACAACATAAGGTCACTGCATAACCTTCAACAAACCAATATCGTAGACCAAACATTGAATACTTGATGTATACTGGTTGATATTTTAGTCTTTGATAAATCGTTGCTCTGTTAGTAGTGATTGGTCATCAATAATTTTTGTCTTCTGTGTTTTTTCTATTTTTTATGCTTTGTATCAATCTGATAACTTAAGCTCTTTTCAACTGATTTTATAGTTTGTTCTTATGTTGTACTGTAACACCACTGTCGCAGGTTTAGGAATGGTTTGACGCCAGCAAACATGTTAAATCCCCAACATTCTGTATGTACCTATCCCAATCCGAAACCCTGTAATTTTATTGTTTTCTCGTTTGAATTGTTTTACATTTGTCATTTCGGGGCATATTATAGCTTACTCATGTTACTAAGCGGTAGGAGTTTTCCTCATTTCTGAATGCTGTACGGTGACCTATATTTGTTAACTTCTGCTTCATTGGATCTGTGGTTGAGAATCTTCTCATTGCCTACATGTATCATACCACATCTTCTAACTTTCATATCAAGACCCATAATATATAAATAAATTTAAAAAAAAACTATTCAATTGAGATTTGAAATGACTGCATTTCTGATATTTTCATAAACGAAAAGCTGGCAAAATGGTTTGAATAATGGTGCGGGATCTAATGTGTTCGTGAATGCTGTGAGATTACTCGCAGTTACTGAATTCTACTTTAAAGCATAATGCAATTGCTATTAATGAATGAATCATGTTTCGTCAGACTTAAAAAACTACCAGTAATCATCTTTGAACGGATAGTGTTTAAGACTTCTTAAATAATCCGGAAAACCTTCTGCAATGACAAAATATAAGTTTAGGTACACAGGTTTTACACTGTACGACACTTTATAATACTTATGTCTTATGTACCTATATGTAGTTATTTCCTTTCAGAACCACAGGTCATTCTTTTGACGAAACAACCTGGACGATACCAAGTGTGAATGTAATGTACTTCAAGGCGTAAAATAAAGTCCTGCGACAGGTCATTATTTAGCATGATAAAAATTCAAACTACAGATTACTTAAACATTTATATCGTGTTTTGTTGCCAATTGATGTTTTTACTGTACAATATACTAAATGGAACATTTTTTCTAAAGTTTAGTCAGAAACAATCCTTTCCTCCGATTTTTTGTAGGGGAACAGCCATTTAAAGGAAAGGGGTATAATGTTGGATACAGATTCTCAAGTTTTGAAGAAAAAAAAATGTATTGCCAGGCATAAGTGAGATAACAATTACTTGTACTCTGAGAAGTTCTATAAAAATTGTTGAAAAAGTAATCTGCTTTTCCGTGATTAAAATGTCGCGAAAGAAGAGAAAAAAATATAGCACCCCTTTATTTAGCTTAATTGTTAAATTTCTTACAAAGTGACTTGTACATGTCATCATCTTACAATTCATTATACTTCTTACTTGACGCAATTACTGTAACATTTATATTGTAAGTGGACAGGGATTACTTACGTTGATATCTAGATTAATTAATGAGTTTTGTTCATCATTTAAATTCATCCGTAGGGGATTTTTATGCCTTATCCCTTATGAAAAGAATATCTCACTTCATTATGATCAGTACCACAGGATAACATTCCTAAAATTATTTAGAGAAAATAATATTTTTTGATGGTATATAAGTCAGATAATGCAATATTTTAAGAATTTTCTTGTCGTATTACACACTTCGTGTAGTGATTTCATAATTAACCATTTGTGCAAATACTACGTTTATTGCAGTCTTAAACATCACTTCAAACACATCATACATGAAGGAAATGATTTGGGTTATAACCACCGTTTTAGAAGGGGTCAAAATAATTGATACCGTAAAAAAACACACATAGCAGGAGGGATTGAAAAAACGTCTCTTTCAAGTACATGTAAATGTGTGTATACTTGAAACGTATTCCTTGTTAATTGGAATACTCATACCAGAAAGGAGGCCAAAGAAACAAAAGGAATATAAAAATTCATAAGTCGAAGGATTCTTGAATATCAAATGCAAAAATAAATTAAAGGTGACAGCAGAGTTATTTAATTTTTCAATCAAATGGAGTTTAGACGGATCTTTATTGAGTTTAGAAATACAATGTGGTTCATACATACACAAGTTTGTTAATAAATGTAATCAACTGGTATCCATGACAACATCCACAACCTGTCGAAATATATTTTTTGTCGAAAAGTACATAGTAAGCTGTTGTCAATGTGAAAATGTACATTTTAAATAGAGGCGAAAGATATCTCACAAATATTGAAACTCGTAAGTCGAAAACAAACTGGCAATGCCACGGCAAAAAAGAAAGAAAAAAAAGACAACAAAAAGGCAAAAAGTACACAAAACAAAACAAAGTCAACTAAAGACTGAGCAAAAACTAACCCCAACAAACACCGGAAATGATCGCAGGTGCTCCGAACAAATAAGCAGATCCTTCTCCACAAGAGGCACCCGTTGTGTTGCTCATGTAAGTACAAACAAGGTGACAAGTTTAATTCGGTAGATAACAGTTGAGGAAAAGGGGACGGGATTGCAGTTACGACAATTGGAACATATTCGTCGTCATATGTGAAACAGAAATTCCTTAAAAGTCTACCATATCGTGATGGCGTTCATAAAATTTGCAAAGGGATGGTTTCAACTTCACCACTTGGCACTCTTAGTTTAATACATTCTTTGTAAGCAGCAACCATCCATCAAGAAAATCATGATAGGAAATGCAAGTTGTAGAATATCGTATCAATAAGGAAATATATACTCCATATGTAGGTGCTGCTGAAATCTTCTCTTTTGTCATCAAGTTTTGTGCTCAACCGACATGCATTTCTATTTCTAGATTTAAGTCAGGATATAAGGCAAACTTAACTGTATCTTTTCTATCCTTTATTTCAAGTTGGATGGAATAGATGCGTTCAACATATATATAGTCACCAAACTTTGAATTATCTAGTGAGAGGACATCATCTATATAGCGGAACGTCAAGTTAAAGGATAGTTCTAGCTTCTTTTCATTCTTATTCAAAAGCTCCTGTATGAAGCCAGCCTCATATTAATAAAGGAATAAGTCTACAAGAAGAGGAACACAGTTGGTTAACATGGGACTGCCGACTGTTTGTTGAAAAACACGTCCTCCAAACATAACAATTATGTTGTCAATCAAAAAATCAATCATAACTCACGATAATGTCAGTTTTATAGAATGCTTTGTTTGAATCAGAGATATATTTTTTATAAAGTAAGATTTATCCCTCACTAAAACATCTTTAAGAATCAAGTCATAGTTTTGATTTGTCTGTTCTCAATCGATTGAAGGGATGTGAACATCGGTTAATAACTGTCGCCTTCATTAATGTAGTCTTTAAATCCACATTTGTATAGTTCAAAATAACAACATATTTTGATTTCAGAAGCTTTTTTGTAGCTTATAACATTATTTCAAAAAGTATACAGTTTCTATGTTCATGTGCACAATTTTTTGTCCAATCCGAAATGTACACTAATATCAAGATAAGTAGATGTGAGAGGATTGCCAATGAGACATGTTTCCACCAAAGTTCCAATGTAGTGGATGTAAACTATTATAGGCAATCGTACGGCCTCAACAATGTAAAAGACCCATACGGTATAGTCGGCTATGAAAGGCACCGATATGATATGAATAATATGTAAAAATATAATTGAGATAACTAACGGATTAATTGATACGAAAAACATATATGACAGACATAAACCAGTAATAACTATTGAACTATAGGCTCCTGACTTTGGACAGGCACATACAGAATGTGGCTGGGTTGAACATGTTTGAAGGCACCAATCCTCCCCTAACCAGGGACAGTGGTGTAACAGTATAACATAGAAACAAACTATAAAAATCAAATGTTGATAAAAGACTAATCTAGTCATAATTTGTTGGTAGGTTACTTTTTTAGTAACTTTGAGACCAACTAAAAGCAAATTTCCCCCTCGTCCTGTCATGATAATAAAACAGCTAGTTGATCCCAGATGATAAAGATATAATAATAACAATTGAGAGATGCGCAGAGAATATCATAGCCCAAGTAAAATGAGTAGAAAACAACAAAAGAAAAAAGGAAGGTGGACATAGTTAACAAATAATAATAAAGAATACTAAATTCAGGAAGCATTACAAAATAAATTATAGAATACTTACCAAGCTTGTCCTTGTTTATGTTTACAGCTATTCTGATTATTAGAAGTATAGTTACGCATATCATACCGCCAATAAATGTCCAAGCCAAATGTTCCTCAACACAGTGATCTGTAGACCAAATGATATACAATGTTCAACAAAAAGAAAAGAGTAAAACAGATTGGTAATTTTTCATGATCTTTTTTGTGTTATTTTAACAAAATAATGCATTACATACTGGCATAATGTGAATTATACTTGAAGCTTGATTTGTTTTCTTTTTTTTTTCTGTGTTTGTTTTTGTTCTATCTCGAGCTTGTTAATAGATCAGTGGTGAGTGGTTCAAATGTTCACACCGTATATGCAATTAATTAAAAACAATGTAGTTGGCCGAAAATTTTCTAAAGTAAAAACGGAACGATTTCAGTTTTTCTTGTCGTCAATTTCTCGTTTTGGTGTCGTCTCACACCCACAACCGCACCGTATGGCGTTAGTATACTTCATTTGGTACGTTACATGTATTAATATTCCTATTATACATATATCATTAACAGGGATGTGTTAAAATCAATGTTTGTTCAAGATGTTTTACGAGTGAGAATAGCTAAAATAGGTACAACACACGTTTTTTATCACCATTTATATACGATTTTACTGTGCCTTAACTCACAAAAAGCATGCTTTCTCAGTCCACGACATTTATATCTGAGGGTTGTCGTTTGATGTTTATGGATTAATTTGCTTGTTTTGATCTTTTCTACATATTTTTCGGGAGCTGTACGCATTCAAAGAAACGCAAATTTTGTAATTTGCATTTAAATGCAGGACATTAAAAGACAACAGGAACATTTAAATATCATTTACAAATGTAGGTATCTGATGGAAAAAAATCTTCCTCGAAGACAAAAAAAGTTGCCTAATCACATCTTTTCATTTTAATTTTTTCGTATGTGTCTACTAGAAAATTGTGTACTGAAAAAAGTAACTTAAAGTAAAAATACTTATATGATTATTGTCTATTTAATGTCAGGAACCCATCACAAGTTCTTACGTAATTTTTTTTTAATTAGATCTGCATACTTTTATTGGACATAAATGTCCTTGTCAGACTTTTAGGAATTAGGATAGAAAGAATTGGAAATATGGTAAAGGTCTACATAAGACAATTTACCGATAAAACAAACGACTCTAAATACACAAATGCATCAAAACAATAGGTGTCATTTTAACATGTTTAACCCAGAAGTACATTGTAACTTTGCTTCAGCAAATGATCACAAAAGCAACATATTACTACTACAACTATATTACATATATAAATGAGATAAACCAATTGAATTTAAAGACATAAAGTTGAAAATATATGAACAAATAAGGGTGACATTTGCTACAGTTTCATTTCGTTACCATTGGTATTTTCTTACTAAGCTGTTTTCTTTCATCCTCGAGATGCATTTAAAAATAAATCACATAAATTGGGCCAATTAAAACGTTTTCCTATGGGTAAAGTGATTATACTTTATATATCATAACTGTATTCAATTATGATTTTGTTAAAAATACAAATATTACCTTTCTCCAGATTTTCTGTTTATAAGTACACTACCTGTATTTATGACGGAGACATTAACAAATGCCTTATCTCTCTCGGTACCATGAACACATTTCCAAGTACCAATGAGTTTTTTTTTAACATGTCCATGTATGAGAAGTACAGTTGTGTTTGTTCGAAGATCTTGAGATATGACGTTGTTGTTTGACGAATAACATAAAGGGAAAGGTATTGGATTTAAACAATGTCCTTCTTCTTTGTTATCAGGATTATAAAAGTAAAGTCTCCATTTTAGTCGGCTAACTCTACATTTGAAGGTTATTTTCTCGTTTTCAGCCTCCCATGTCAAACAAACGTGGACGTCACAGGAGATTATAACTGAAAAATTAAATAATAGACAGTGCTGGTTGACTGTTAGTCCCAGAGGAAATCATCAGCCAAGTAGAAAGTACTGGCATACTGTTTTCTTTGCTTTTATAAGATTTTAGAAATAATTTTAAAGGACAAGCTATGATAAGGCTATTGTAACTGGCCTTCTACTTTTGTTCAAATTAGAAAAAATATAAGTCAAATACCATGCTACTTTTTTAAAAGTTAAGTAACTCATCTTTCATAAATCTAAGTAATTCAAAATGATTCATTACCTCTCTCTGTCTCCCGAAAAACCGGATTTTATGAAAAACATGAATGTTTGTGTCTATTTATCAAGAACGTTTGCATCTATTTATCGAGATAATTTGCGTCTATTTAAGCAATATTTAGCTATGAGCGGACGCGAGTACCACGACAATATTCGTATGGGTTGTTGGTTTGAAGAAAATGTTTTACTGTTTGCAATATAATCGTGGCACTTGCGTCCGCTCATGTTAAAAATTACCAATTCTACTCCCATCATTTACTTTATCATTTCTATGACTTTCTTCTTCGTGTTCATTTCTTTTTACTGTCTCAGAAAATCGTTTAGTAAAAATAATAAATGACCATATGATGTAAGGCACCAACATTTTTCTATTCACTGCTTTCATTTGTACAAGAGTAGGAAGAATAGGTTCAAGATTTTAGAACCTTCGTATTCCAGGTTTTCAATTTGCTGTCTGCTAATGTGGCACACTTTGGTTTTAATGGATTGAACAAGATGATTAGAATCACTTGATTCCTAAAATGGTATAGGATTAGATAAGGATGAATGTGTTATTTTTCAATTTATTTATAGTTTTCATAGATCAAACTGTTATGTATGAGGAGCGGAATGGGGTACCACACCTGACGAATGACGGTAAAATATTTGTTAAAATAACGTTAACGATAAGCATATTTCACGAGTGACAATTAAAACTTAAGGCTCATTTGACGCTAATGGTAGCGAAAACGGACGTTTGACGCTTGGCTATTAAGGGCAGTCTTATCCTCATATATAACTTGAACATCCTGCCCCCTTCCGAACATCTCCTCCTTCTCCCAAGTTTAAGACAAAATAAGTAAATGGACTGATTTGACAATCCCGCTGGAATCACCAATGTACTCCATGTTTTAAATAATATCATTTAGGGTACCAGTTTTGACTGCTCAAGATAAGAATATTTTAAACGTTTATAATGTTACTTATATGATAAAATACGGACGCCTTTATGCAAAGTCAGAAGCCAGGTTAACACACCAATTACCTCTAAAAAAAAATTATCAACTCAAAGATTGTTTTATCTTTTTGTCCTTGATTAAGGAAGTTATGTTTTCTGGTATGTGCGTCTGTCCGTACGTCCACTAGACCGTCCCGTATCAGACAAAACTTTTTGTTAAGATAATTAACCATGAAGTTTGGTCCCATCTACTTGCAACCTGGTTCACAAGTTTATTATGGTGTGATCTTTTCAAATGATGCACTGAATAACGGTTTTGACCCGATTTCACATTTCACAGAACATAAAAATGCGATAGTGTGAAAAAGGTATATTCTCCGAAAGTTTTTGGTAAATGTAGTTTACCATGAATTACGTTGTGGTCACATTAACTGGAAACTTTGTGTTATTGTGCTATGGTCAATTTTGTATGTACTTGTTGTCTGCTGTACCCAAATTTTTGACATTTTTACCTATTATATCTGTTTGTTTTGCTCATACATTGTTGTCAACATAATGGTAATTATCTGCGACTGTCATACAAGTGAGAGGTTTAGCTAGCTTTAAAACCATGTTTAATCCACCAGTTTCTACATACGGAAATGCCTGTACCAAGTCAGGACAGTTGTTTTCAATTCGTTCGATGTGTTTGAGCTTTTGATGTTGCAATTTGACAAAGGACTTTCTGTTTTGAATTTTCCTTGGAGTTCAGTATTTTTATTATTTTACTTTTAGTACACTTGTTTTTTGCAAGGAAGTTTTTATCCAGATTTTAAGATTTTGAGCCATATTTCAAAGTTTATGGATCATGGACATATGCTTGTGTTAGCGGGACATGAGCTCTATTCTTGTTTTATTTCGTTTCAATTTTCTTGAAAACTCTGAGTTTTATTCATATATAACGTGTACAGTGAAATCAACACTGTTTATATAGGTTTTAGAAGGAGTTTCGGCACCATGGTTTATCAAAGTGTAACCCAAGAAAAAAACTCAAACGGCTCAATCAAACTTAAGTCATATTTAAGTATTTGTATATTATTATGTAAATCATATAAAAAATATTAAGTGATAAACTATATCTTCGAAATTGTATTCATTTACATAATAGCTAGTCCGAAGACAGGAAACATTGACTTTCTAAATTTTTAAAAACTCTGTATTCGATCGGAAAATGTTTAAGGATCAGAAGTGACACCTAAACAAAGGCAAAACAAGGTTTTCATGAAGTAAAATGGCACTCATAGTTGTTCATGAATTTATGTGCTGGTTTATGTTGTTTTATGTATCCGTTTTTATTCTGTAGTTAGTCACCACTTCGGTGTTATCATGTATATCTATTATATAGTCATTTTTATAAATTTACTGTTTGCAAAAGTATGAATTATTCTAAATACTAAGGATTTTCTTATCCCAGACATATAACCTTAGCCGTATTTGGCACAACTTTTTGGAACTTTTGGTCCTCAATGCTCTTCAACTTTGTACTTGTTTTGGCTTTCCAACTTGTTTGATCTGAGCGTCACTGGTTAGTCTTGTGTGGACGAAACGCGCGTCTTAAATTTTAAACCTGGTACCTTTTGTTAGCTATTATTCGTATGTTTCTCTGTCCTATATGTTCTCCCATTTATTTGTATTGTAGTCCTGTCATGTAATGTTGTCATTTTAATGTTATATTTAACATTGCCATAAAAGCGGGAGGTTTGGCTAGCCACAAAACCAGGTTCAACCCATCATTTTTTTTCTTAAAATGTCCTGTACCAAGTCAGGAAAATGGCCATTGTTATATTATAGTTCGTTTCTGTGTGTGTTACATTTTAATGTTATGTTTCTGTTGTGTCGTAGTTCTCCTCATATATTTGATGTGTTTCCCTCAGTTTTAGTTTGTAACCCGGATTTGTTTTTTTCTCAATCGATTTATGAATTTCAAACAGCGGTATACTACTGTTACCTTTATTTTCATGTCAACAGATGCAGTTATGATAAAATATACCATCTCGGTCAAATGGTCGTAGTAATAATGAAAAAAACTGAGTACTGCTGTCTGTGTAGGAACAATGTCAGAGAAATAACAGAAAAAAAAGCTTAACATAAATACCCAACTCCAAGGTAAATTAAAAAAGGGCAAGTTCATTAAAACTGACACAATTAAACGTAAGACTTCATCAATCAACGAACGAATGGAAACAACCGTCATATTCATGGCTAGGAACATTCCCGAGAGAAATGATGAGTTAAACCTGGTTTTAGAGTTAGCTAAACCTCCTACCTGTATGACAGGTAGAACACGACGTTGCAGTGGACCTCTTGTCAAATGAATTGAAGCGAGTTGTCAATGAAACAAATATTATACAGCGCATATATTCCAGCAATCAAAAGCTAGCCTCTCCCCCTTATTTCGCACAGATCACGCACAACTAAGAAAAAAGACTTTTGCCAAATGATAACGAGTCATATATAGCTTTACTCTTTCTGAAAATGTATTGGTCAGCTGAATACAGAAACAAAATAAAAATAATGTTTATTATAAATTTTGGTTGTTTTTGTTAGGCTGCCTTAAACAACAAAGTATCTTAAATAAGCAACTTATAACCTTGCAAAGGTTACGAACGACGAAGAATGTCAAAAATCTACAATTTTTGTAATGATTGAGGACAAAATTCGACATCAGCGCCAACGTAGAACATCTTAAAATTTTCAGCCATCAACTTTTCTGTTATAGATATTTCATTTTATAAAATACCACGATGGTCTTATTTAAGATTAAAAGAAAAATTCCGAATATTTACAACTTTGACAAGTGCATATATACATAATACGTCATACGTAATGGTACGGGTTACGAGATTATTCCGGGGTCTTCAATTAATCTGAATACCACGAACCAATAGCTATAACGTATTCAGATTAATTGACGACCCCGGAATAATGTCGTTACCCGTACCATTACGTATGACGTATGACAGCTAAACATGCCACACTCTAAAAGAATAAAGATATCTGTTGTGCGTCGCCGTGTAGTAAAACCCAGGTGAAAAAAAATCTATCGCAGTGCAGACAACATAAATACAGAATGTAGTTCTTTGAAATATGTGGATTTAACTTTCGAATTAATTTTATGATAAGACCTTTATCAATCAAATTATTTTTGAAATTCGGAAGTGAATTGTACTTTTACTCCATATCCGCGATTCGAAAATTGCTCCTGTTGAAATTCCTATTTATATTTTTTGAAGAGTAAACAGGTCACTATGACAATTATTGTTTGAAATATAAACATGTTTGATCTGTAATGTATAAACCAGTAGTAGTTCTCCCAAACTTTCCTGATGAATTAATAAATGCTTATCTTGAAGACAAATACATAGGTCAAAGGAAATCAAAGTAGACTAATGTCTTTCGTGACAAAATGTCAAGTCTTAACTCATCTCGAGACTATAAAAAAAATGATAACTCAACAAACACACTCAAGGATTCGCATTCAAGACAAATTCTCCCCCAAAAATAATCACACAATGAAAAAAAAAAAATAATGATACTAGTATGATATCAGGTTACCACTCATTGTTGGCGTGACTTGGGACAGGCGTATGCACAAGTTGATTGATAGTCCTCCCCTTCTTATATTGATTAAATGACCTACAAAACGTGCATAAAATATGCAATATTGAAAAATGCAGTTAAAGAATTTAAATAAAAAATATTGCTATAATAGATTACAAGACGAAGTTTAAAAGGAAACAAAACATATTATTCGGTCTAAAGTGCAGTTTATAATAAAAGCAAGCTTAAGATACTGAACCTATACTGTAATTTATAGAGTGACACCCTTTTTATTTTTGATACATCTTTTAAGATCTTTACCTTAAGGGCATCCGATACAGTTTCTCGATATAATGTCATTTTTATAATTCGAAATATGTTGTAGGCCTTGGCGAGTTTTAAATAACACACAAAATAAAACATAGGTCATCATGCTTGTTTTCGAGAAAATTGAGGCTGAAAATTGGGGATTTGTGCAATTTTGTAAAAAGTTAGGCAATGTTATAAATTTTTGGAGCAGATATTCTTCGTCGTAAATTATTAAGATCGGGTTCAATTTGAAGCTGTGATAAGACACAATAAGGAAAAAAATAAATCCCTACACGCATGACTATACAATTATGCAAGCCTTGCTTGACATTGCGGAACAGATGCTCAAAGTGGTATTTTTTTTAACCTAAAAATAGGGAAATAATGTGTTTCTGAAAATGTCATTTTTATCATTTTTCTACAAAAACTGCATTTTGTCATGCTTTCTCCAAATCTTAAATAACAAATATATGTCACCGTGCTGGATTCCATGATAAACGCGAGTTATCCTAAAAATTGAGTCCCCCATTTGGAACATCAACGTTAGCGCTAAAATGCACCACGTCGCTGGCAGACAATTTCGACGTTATCGCTGCAAGTTACCGGCGACATTTTTTAGATGTATAAATATTGCTTGTAAACAGCTACCTATAAATTGGTCAAATTGTTTTCGGAAATAAAATCCTGTGAATCATAAATACCTGTCTCTGTTTGTGGTCTAAGTGAGAAACATCGCAAGAAAAGTTATTACGGACTGTTGACAATTTTACGGCTTTTAGAATTAAAGACTGCTTTTGTCCAGACAGAGAAACTAAACCATAATTTTGAAATTTTTGATTTGGCAAAACGATTGAAAGGACTGGACATATTACCTATTCCCCCACCCACCCCCAGCTTTGGGTTTGTTTCTGTTCCTCTCCAAACTTTTCACAGTATACCCACCTAAATTACGATTGCAAAGCAAGTCAGTGGCGGATCCAGAAATTTTCATAAATGGGGGCCCACTGACTGCATAAGAGGGGACCCGCTCTCGTCACGCTTCAGTGATTCTCTATATAACCAACCAAATTTTTTCCTCAAAAGGGGGGCCTGAGCCTCCACCCTAAATCCGCCTCTGCACGTCACTTTTATAATCTTGTACTATAATATACTTTCTCTTCAGTTTTTAATGCTGTTTTTTTAGGGGGAAGAGGGGAGAGAGTGGGAGAGAGTGGCAAGTAACAGAAAACTTTTTCCTAAGTAATACTTTAATAAATATATAGTCATAAGTAAATGAAATTATTTTTGAAGCAGTAACAACAGATAATTCATTAAAAGGAAAGATTTTTATGTCCCTCTCTGGAACGCGGCGTAAATTTAAGTTTTACGTAAGGACTTATTGAAACCTCCATGGAGTCAGTAAACCTTTATATGGATAGTTCATTCAGCTTGCATAATTCAATTACTCATTTATTATCACATTTCTTTCATAAATGAGTGAAATTTACCCCGAAATTTTTATTTTTGACCTAAAAAATTGAAATTTTGAGGAAATGAGAAGTATGAATGGACCAAAAGGGATCTTATATTGAAAACAAAGAGGTCCATTAGTGATATTTATCATTCTAGAGTCATCTTTTGTATCATATTCAACTGTTTGTAGGCAAAAGAGATAAATATTTGATCATGTATTGTTACACACTATATTCTATCATGATGCGGCTTGACTTGGATTTTTCGAAGAATTTTTGCTCGAATCGATGTAGATGTCGTCTTACATTATACTAGATTTTTCTCAAACTATTAAACTGATTACGACAAAACTTGATAGTAATGTTTGAAATAACCAGCATTACTATGGAAAAAAATCACATTCAGTTCATTCAACAAAGTCTTCTTTAGGTGTAATACCACCGAATTATAGTACGTCACATCCGGTTGCATACGAAAAAGGGTAAAACAAATATTCCCTTGAATTTGACAGTTGTAAGGAATCAATCCTACATTTCATTGCAGTAAAAAAATTCTGAGTCATAAACATATCTCTTTGGGTGTTTCAAAGCACCATTTTTTTTTATTTGGTGGTTCTATAGAATACTTTGGAAACTTGAGGTTTCATGGTTACTAAAGCTTGTACACAGGGAAAAAAAGGAGTGAAAATTTGATTGGTTAACTTCCAGTGATGGTTATTTTTTTGGTATGCAAAGAAATGTGATGTGAAATTTTGTCTATAGTACTGGACAGGATAAAACTTTACTGATGCCAAGTATTTCTTAATTTGAAACAAAGATACATTCTGCACACTTTTTTGAAAAATGTAAATCTACCAAAGACTAATAGGGGAAAATCAATGGTGGTATTACACCTTAATGACTGAACAAAAAAATCATATTTCTTTTTTTTCTATCTCGTATCTAATGCCCCTTAAAAACTCACTATAAAAGTTTCGTTTTAAATATTTTGGTCTTGCATAAATACAAATTAGTTAAGACACATGGCAAACTGACTTGTGAAGTGTTTGCTAAGTATGCATCTACGAATAAATGTGTTTATTTCTGCAATTTGTAGCATTTATAGCTATGTTGTCTAAAGTTTAACTTAGGTGACAATCATTCATGTCAAACCCATACCTTTTCCTGGAATGCACTGTTTCCTTTGAAGTATGTATGACCTAGTTAATGTTTATAATTCTAAAGAAAATTTCATCAATGTTTAACCTGGCCTGAAAAAAGTTGTTAGAAATTACCAGTTAGAGCAAATAATTGTCAATTCTGAGTCAGAATAATGTGTCCGGATAGGGATTCAACTTACCCTGTTAAAAAGCACGTAAATATTTGGCACCGAACGTTCGGCTAGTACACATCTGGGTTCTTCTTTATATCCCGGTTACTTTTCATTTTGCTTGTATGCATGAATATATTTAGTATTTAAACACAAATTAGTCATCATCATTTTCATGGATTTGCCCAATTGACGCAACTATCTTTTTTCATAATAACAAGAAATGATGCTAAATATTAATTTATAAAAATTGTATTTGAATATTATAGTCCTTTTAAAGTTGATATGATGACAATTTTGAATTTCTAATCTGGTCATCGATGCCTTTGATCGGTTGATCTGTATTTTCACAAGAAACCACTTTGCCGCTTTGTATAAATCATGAATTTTCATGGTTGTTGTTCAAAATGTTTTATTTCTGTGTCCATTTGCCATAATACTAAATGGCCGCAATATTAAAATTACAATGAAGTGCACGTTTGATATCTAATCAATTTCAAATATATTGTGTTTTCATAAATAAAGGCAACAGTAGTATACTGCTGTTCAAAAGTCATAAATCGATTGAGAGAAACAAAATCCGGGTTAAAACTAAAACCGAGGGAAACACATCAACTATAACAGGAAAACAACAGAACAACAGAAACACTTAAGTGCAACAACAAAAAACGCCAACATACTATAAACGGACTATTTGATAACAACTGCAATATTCCCGACTTGGTACAGGACATTTTAAGACAAAATTAGAGGGTTGAACCTGGTTTAATAGCTAGCCAAACCTCTGGCTGAAACGGCAATGTTAATAAAATAAAATCTTTCTTACTAAGTACTTATATATTTTATATTTCCAAATAAACATTAGTGTCACATTCTGGATTCAGTGGTGCTTCTTGTCGTGTTGATTGAGCCTGGTAAAAAGTCATTTAAGGAGGTACGATATATAATTTATATAAGTGCCCAAGGTGCGATGACGTTACCACGATGTCATCGAACTAGGGTTTCTTTCTTTAAATTTAAAAATATATGAATTTGTCTGTAAGGCTTCTGGAAAGGACATGTTCAAGGAAATGTATATTTTGGGAAAATTAGTAATGGATAAGTATTGGAACAGAAAGATAACACGGAAATCTAATAATAAGGAAATAATTAGCTACCTCAGGACAATTATGGATCACAATTGTGTACAAAAGACTTAACGTAGAACCACAGATAAAGATAAGGAGTATAACTAAACACATATACATTAAACTTTACTGCATTGATATGTAATACATTTATTATAAAAACGTATTGCCGATTTGAAGGTTAACATATTGAAAATAATTTTTTAAAGTGCTTAAATAATTTCCATGTATATATCCACTCGATATCCATACTTACAACAAACTTACTTCTTATACACAAAATAGATGCGGCGAGTACATGCATAAACATGTTGTTCCTGGATACTAGGATAAAACGGGTTCCATACACTGGACAACTAAGTAAGGATCTGGCACTACGAGTTTTATTTAAAACGTTTGCTATCAAATTCCAAATGTATCCATAAGAGCTCAGTCTCTTTCAAAATATTTAGCAAAATTGCATTCGATCAGGTTAATCATATCTTGTAAGAATAAATAAATATTACCTCCTGTGCATCGAAAGAAATTTACACAATGCCGGAAATAGAGTTCTCTTTACCTGGGTATATAGAATAGGTAGAATAATTAAAGAGAGTACGTTGTAAGTTATGGATCAGTTAGCAGACGTATACTAACATAACATTCATTGGTCTAATTATACAACATTCACTACCACAATATACATAATGTTATGAAGAAAAAAGGTCTACAGTAAGTATATCTTATTAATGGCATTAATCAAGTTTTTGAAGAAAAGTCTACGGACAATTTAGATTATCGCACCTCGGACATATTAGTGACGATGTGATTGGTTTAACGCTGTAACGTGGTGAACTGTAGTTGAAACTTACTTCTCAATTTTATTTGTTAGCTTAATTATGCAAAAGGTATGAGGCACAAATTGATAAAACTTATAAAGTCTTCTCCCCTATGGATCGGTAGGATGTATAGTTTTTATATCCCAAGGTATAGAAGGCCTTCATCAAATCTACTGTCGTTTTCAAACTGAAAAAAGCATCAGTGCTTTTAATTCGAATAAGGTATTGGTTTTTATTTTTCTGAGTGGTCACTGATTTATTTTTCTATGATAAACTTAGTAATAATTGTAGACCCTTGTGCCGTTTATGAGTTATCTTATTTATAATCAGTTTCATTTTTTATTTTTGGCACGAAAAGTACCTGTACAATTTCCATGATAAACGACATACAATAAAATGTTAAATTCACCGTTTATCGGGTCGTCAAATTCGTTATTTTATGTGAAATGGTACATTTTGACCAAGGTGATAGCATGCGACCTCACAAAGAAGTAGGGCAAGATGTTTTGAAATTAATGCAATAAATACATAAATTTGCATGGCATTCCAAATAATATGATAAATAATATCCAGGTAACTTCTCTGATTTGACAATATCTTATAATAATCTTTAATGTAATTTGAACAAACAAAAATGTTTGTGACAAAAACTTATAAATAAAAAAAAAAAAAAAAAAAAAAATACCGAACTTCCAGAAAAATTCAAACGGAAAGTCCCGTAACAATGTAATATAAATTGAACATGAATCATAGATATAGTCAAGAAATATATATATTTTCTATAAAAATATGAACAAATTAAGCTGCTTTTGTCCTCACTTCTAATGACAGTTAAAAAGATAAATGACTAGTTTATGTTTATATAGGTTTAATTATTAAATAAGATTTTGGTCTTTTGGAAGTGATATACAGTCGTCTTCCCATTTTCACTTTTCAAATAGACCAAAACTTATTTTATTAGTTTTATTACACTCCAAGAGAAAATGTTCTTGGTTTTCAAGAACATGACATAGTTTACAAAATCTATTTTCTCGAGGAATTTAAAAATATCTACCCTTATCAATTTCAAGATTGTGGTCACTTTTACGGAGTTCGGTGAAACGCCCTCTTATAGTAAAATCGTTGAACCTTAAGTAAAATTATTTATCTTGACCGAGTTGTATGTTTTTGAATAAAGATTAATTACTTTTTCATCATAACTATTCAACTTATTTTCAATTAAAATTTTACATTTGTCTTGTATTTATTTCGATATAAGAATCTTTATTGGTTTAACTTCTATCATTTTTTTACAATATTCTATTTTGATTAAAATATCGTATCGTACGTGACTTTTTTTTACTGTTTTGAAAGGAGAGGAGACATTTGTTTGAATACGCTTAAAGGAAATATTTAAATTCAAATGGATATTTTTGAAGTGTATATTACTTTGATTAGATCTAACTCCTCATGCAAAACTTAATTAAAAAGAAATGGTAAATATTTATAGAATACTAAGGTGACAATGAGAAAAAATGATTATGTTATTCATTATTATGTCAGACAATCTTGATATTCGATTCGAACTAGTTTATTCGTCTTTACATTTTAAAGGTACGCTTTTGTAAAGGTTCATATCATAAAGAAAATGAAATACCCTGAGATCTTTTTAAAATACGAGTTTATGTGAGAAAGACATTATCATTTTAAAGGTGTGATTCACATTTTAATGTAATGACATTTTTTTTTTTCTTTTGAAAACGCAGTTTGGGCTTCTTTTACTTTTTCCCTTAAGCATCTTAAACTCTAAATCAATTTCAAAAACCAGGTTAGTGGGAAATATCACTCTAATAATCAAACCTTCCCCCAGAACAAATTGTATTCTTATATTCATAAAGTGAGTCATACCTTTTAATTTAAAATTTTACGGACGCCATCACGAGTTGGTTGACCGTTATGGAATAACCGTTTCACAGATGATATCGGATATGTTCCTTATGTCGTAACTACAATACCCTTCCCTTTTCACGAATGTGACTTACCGAATTAGACTATTTACCGGATTTGTAATAACATAAGCAACACGACGGGTGCCACATGTGGAGCAGGATCTGCTTACCCTTCCGGAGCACCTGAGATCACCCCCAGTTTTTGGTGGGGTTCGTGTTGCTTAGTCTTTTTTTTCTATGTTGTGTCATCTGTACTATTATTTGTCTGTTTGTCTTTTTATTTTTGGCCATGGCGTTGTCAGTTTGTTTTCGATCTATGAGTTTGACTGTCCCTCTGGTATCTTTCGTCCCTCTTTTTTAACATAATTGACATTTTTATATAGGATTCAATTACAACCGAATCAAAGAACGTATATGTTAAATTAACCACTTTTCATTTTCCTCTGACAGAATGAATATTTCAAAGAATAATTGTGAAGAGACAGCAACCCAACATGGGAGCGAATATGTGTCCTTCGGAATACAATTTTATTAAATTATACTTTTGAGGCTATGTTTTGCATTTAATCGTTCATTTATTTATCAGATTGAATGCAATTAAATCCACCCTCTTGTTAAATTTTTTTACTTACTTACTGTTACGCGTTTTATTTTGTACTTTCAAGCGTATTTTCTAGGTTATGTATACTGTATGGCTTAGTTCGTATTCTCGAGTCAATTAGTCCACTTTTTCTAGTGATATTACATGCGATTAAATTGAAATTTCTTCTTCTTCTTCTTCTTCTTCTTCTTCTTCTTCTTCTTCTTCTTCTTCTTCTTCTTCTTCTTCTTCTTCTTCTTCTTCTTCCGCCGCTTAAAAGATGAATTTGTCCGCAGCGGTTCTCCAAAACCGCTTGTCAGTTTTACTTAGGGTTTCATAAAATGTAAGAATAACATGTCTAAGGGAGCCATCAACCTTTCGTTTGTGCATTGGGGTCTATTTAGAGGTATATTGAGGGTCCTAAAGATGGAAGGGATTAACTATAGAACCCTATGGGATTTTATTTTTTTTTAATTTTCAAATGACTATAACTTGAAAACAGTAAGTGATAGACACGCAGTCTTCAGTAATGATCACAGGACAATAAAACAAATAAAACAAAATATAGGGTGAGTCCATGGGGCTCCCCCCCCCCCCCCCCCTTCAATTTGAGAATGTGTTTTTATCTTGTAAACGGTCGAGATCCCCACTCCTAAACCATATATATTCTTGTATGGGACAATAAAACAAATCAAATGAAATATTGGGGGAGTCCCCGGGGTCACCCCCTACCCCACCCTCTTCTGTTTGAGAACTTGTAAACGGTCGAGATTCCCACCCCTAAACCATAAATATTCCTGTATGAGACAATAAAACAAATCAAATGAAATATAGGGGGAGTCCCTGGTTGTCACCCCACCCCCCTCCTATATAAGAACTTGTAAACGGTCGAGTTCCCCACCCCTAAACCATATATAATCTTCTATGGGACAATAAAACAAATCAAATGAAATATAGGGGAAGTCCGCGGGGCTTACCCCACCCCCTTCTTTTTGAAAACTTTTAAACGGTCGAGATCCCCACCCCGAAACCATAAATATTCTTGTATGGGATAATAAAAAAAATCAAATGAAATAAAAGGCGAGTCCCCTGGGTCACGCCCACCCCCTTCTTTTTGAAAACTTTTAAACGGTCGAGATCCCCACCCCTAAACCATATATATTCTTGTATAGGACAAAAAAAAAACAAATCAAATGAAATAAAGGACTTTGCCCAATGTCTGGCGACCATGTGAATGACGAATTATGGGAGCTTTGTTTGGGAGACTTCGTAACAGCACCCTGTTACAATTATTTCTTGTATATTTTGTATTCATACTGTTCATTTTTTCTGAATACTATACATAGCTCAAACGTCGCACAATGTCCCTTTATTTGATAAAACGTTCAGTATATCACATTATCCAGGTTGTTTAAAATTAACATTTAATATTTCCGAGTTTTTTTCTCAATGGACTAGGTTTAAAAATGTAATTTGGTAAAGGACAGTATTATGTATTCGCAATAGCTTACCAATCACGAACCTTGCAGTATACAGACATATTAGAAATAACTGAATCCTCTATAAAACGGCCTTGAGAACCGAGTACAGGAACTCATAGGTTGCACTTCTGTTAGTATAGACAATGCCATTTCCCATGGGAACTCTCTTTACGGCTAAAACTGTGCCACTTTTACTATGAAGTTTCGTAAAAAATTATATCCTAGAACTGAAAGTTGATATGCACTACTATTTTATTCAATGGTCAAAACATAGGGCAGTGCGGCATATTTTCAACATTTATATGCCCCGAACTTCTAAGAGTTTAAACTTATACTAAAATTCTGTACTACCCCTTCCTTTACTTTAGGTCTTCCTCAGAATTCAATTTCACCGCTACCATGTGTATTTATACTGGTAAGATTTCTAAGTTATGTCTCTATGAGATGAAACATAGAGATCATATCTAAAAACCAGTACGGAATCAAAACAAAATATCTATTAATATTATAAATCTCCCCAGAAGAGGCGAGGTTTGTGAAACAGCTGTATTTACAAAGTGCAACCTATACTTACATTTATGCAAATAGAAAACTCTTGAAAAAAACCTTTTCTCACATCCATACTTACAAATGTATTTATCAGAATCATAGCATAATAAAGCATCTATGTTTTATCTCGTAGAGACATAACTTGGGAATGCTACCAGTATGAATACACATGAATAGCGGCGAAATTGAATTCTGATGAAGACCCAAAGTAAAGAGCTGTGTGGTACAGAATTTCATTATAAGTTTAAACTCTAAGAAGTTCGGAGCATATAAATGTTGAAAATATGCCGCACAGCCCTATGTTTTGACCTTTGAAAAAAAATAGTAGTTCTTTCCATTCTAGGATATCATATTTTACGAAACTGCAGGGTTAAAATGGTACAGTTTCAGTCGTAAAAGAAGTTCCTATGGAAAATTGCATTGTCTATAATTACAGAAGTGCAAAATTTCATTTTATGCGGTTATATATATCATTTGATATGCCTATATATTCATTTACAAATGATATGATATCATTAATTAACATCATTCATTTTTTTTATTCTACTTTTGCTTGTCCTTACCCACATAAAAATCCTTTTACATCACCGAATCAACAATCGTCAATATTCATCCTAAGGTATAGGTTTAAGCCACCATTTTCTACATAAGGAAATGCCTGTACCAAGTCACGAATATGACAGGTGATTCCCATTCCTTTGATGTGTTTGAGCTTTTGATTTTGCCATTTGATAAGGGACTTTCCGAATTGAATTTTCCTTTGAGTTCGGTATTTTCATTATTTTACTTTTTATAAAAGATAGCTGGTTAATGAATTTTCGAATAATGTTAACAAGTCTGCATATGAACATACTATTTAATATAAGTATGCGCGGTGTGGTTGAGCAAATAGTATTTAATTTCTAAAAAATATTTATTAGACCTTGATAAACTGAAACTATTTGTCATAGATCCGTATGTAATAGATATAAGAAGATGTGGTATGAGTGCCAATGAGACAACTCTCCATCCAAGTCAAAATTTATAAAAGTAAACCATTATAGGTCACAATACGGTCTTCAACACGGAGCCTTGGCTCACACCGAACAGTAAGCTATAAAGGGCCCCAAAAGTTACTAGTGTAAAACCATTCAAACGGGAAAACTAACGGTCTAATCTATATAAAAAACGAGAAACGAGAAACACTTATTAACCACATCAACAAACGACAACTACTGAACATCAGATTCCTGACTTAGGACAGGTGCAAACAAATGCAGCGGGTTTAAACGTTTTAATGGTACCAAACCTTCACCCTCTTTCTGAAACAATAGTGTAACATCACAACATAGAAAGACACACTATAAAATATCAACTGAAATAGCTTAACTCAATCAAAGGACATATTAACACCATTGAACATACACTGAACAAATAAATTTGACCTATGATACAATGTAAATACAAAATAAATAAACTAAGGGAATAATAATAAAAGTAACATGTTATATCGGTATGAAATGTTAAACAATTAAAGAAAAAACAATATGCTCGAACAAAAAAATCAGCCATTTGCAAAAACTTTAAACACAGGTAAATGCAAATAATTTTGTTGTTAGGTATACGTGTACAGTTCCAATAGAGAAAGGAAATATTTTTACAAAATAAATAATTTTGATGTTCATAGTACGAAGTGAAAATTTATAGTAATACAAAACACTTATCAAAGCTGGTATATAGACCAGATATAACCCTGAATAACATTAAATAACAAAAAAGCAATACAATTAGTATCAACAGGTCAAATAAACAAGAAAGTACGATTTGAGAGTACTAGCAGTTACAGAAACAATCAATAATAAAAAAAAATCATGCATCAGAGACCAAAATCAACTAAAACACATCCCAGGGATTTAGTATTTTAACGTCATGGACAGTCAAAGAAGACATGACTAGTGCAATGCCAAAAATAAATGTATCGACAGACAGTAGGATAGTTAGGAGTTTAACCTCTTTATAGATCAAAACGAACGTGGGTGTGTCTTTAAACATCCCGTTTGAAAAGAATACAAATTTATTTATGTTTTAATTTGCTGATGACAAAATCGATATAAGTGCCAATGTAAACTATATTCAAAGATCTAATTACAACATTGGTAAGATAACCTTTACTAATAAGTTTGTTTAAAGGTTCGATGAGTTTACACGGATCACATAGTGATTTCCGCGCTTTAAGTACAATATTACAGTAAAATTTAGGATGTGAAATACCGTTTTTAATCAGTTTTCTACTAGTACAGCCAAATTTACCTATCAAATCTTTGTATCTATGAAAGAACTTAGCAAAAGTTTTACGTAATTTATGGTAACGAAATCCTTGACTTAATAATTTACCAGTGATGCATTGATTACGTTCGTTAAAATCTATGACATCACTACACACACGGGCATAACGAACGAGTTGGGATATATAAACACCGTATGATGGAGCCAAAGGAACATCGCCTTCTAAAAAAGGAAAATTAACAATAGGGAATGAAACATCGTCTCTTTTGTCGTAAATTTTCGTATGGAGTTTCCCTTTAGAGATTGAAATGTCCAAATTAAGTCTGCTTATATGAAGAAACAATCCAGATGTTTAGCAAATATTTTAGTTTCCGTAGTATCCTTAACTTCCATTTTATTGAATTATTAAAAAAATTGTGTAGTTAATCACATTGCAAATGATATTTTGTGTGACAAAAACAATCAATTGCTATCTACCTGTTTGTAAAAAGACACCTTTATTGAGACAATGTTATGGATCCTCCAACAGGGAAAGACACATTATGTAGAATGTGATATGACTGCAAAATTGTTGTGTTTAGATTGAAGTATTTTGATTTGATATATAGAATCTTTAACAATCCACATATTGATATCGCTGGTTAAGTAATACTTGGGAAGGCAAACTTATACAGCAGAAAGAGTGAAAGTACATAATTTTAGAAATATGTTTTGTTGAATATAAAGAAGAGCCGGTTTAATATAATACTTTGTAATGCCTTTTGTAAAGCTTTGGTTTCGGTAAAAAAGGAAGGACATTTTCTTCGATTATTTTGCTGACTGATATTGATGAAGGTGGTTTCCAAGATTTGTTCTGAATTCCGACATCTTTTTCTTCAAATTTTTTTCCAGATTTTCAGATGGACCAAAAATGGTGAAGAGATAATTGAGCAGCTACAACCTTTAAGCTCTTTTAGTTATTTATTGAAATGCTCCATGGTGAAAACCGTCAATTGTATTATTTTGTATGAGAACGATTCACACGAATAATCATAAAATTTGGATTTACCATCCTTTAAGGGAAATGTGGAATGCATTTGTCAACTGATAACAACTATTATTTTATTATGTTTCAGATTGAGATGGAGTATACTCTTTTATTGTTTGTTGTGGCAAAACTGTATTCTGTAGAAGGTGGTAAGTATTATTTCGAAGGAATAAAAATAGGAAAAGCACACACGAATATAACATCACAACAATAACACCAACAAATATATAGAATAACAAAAACATAAAAATTTATTCAACCATTGGTTTACCGTTTTTCTAAGACCATGTAATTTATAGCATAGCATTATTCAAATTAAAAGTCATTTCTTTTTCGTTGGAGTACCTAGATTCAATTAAATGCATGCATTTTGGGTCTATTCTATTGTAATTTGGCTGTGTGTATACTGTATGATATAACTGATCTTTTTTCGATCTTTTTTCGATTGCCTCATGTTTCAACAGTATTTGAAATACTCATATTCTGAAATTTAGATAAATTTTTACTGTGTTAAAACAAAAATGACTGAACAATGCGTCTTCAAACAAACAATCAAAACATTTGTATTTAAGAATTTCCAAAATAATTAATAAGTAAGTAATGTCCAATTTTTCAGTCAATTTTCCGAATTATCCCCTGTGGTAAATAAGTATTGGTCATTAACATTCTTTGCAGTGTTTATGAGTTGTAGTTATTATTGATCTAAATAAATCAATTCAGTTCTAAATTGTACGGATAGCTAGTGAAGAGTACTGTATTGACTGCAAGCGAAGTGTCTGATAATTTGTTTTGTAATTTTGTTACTGTTCATGATAAAACATATGAAATTATATAATACAATATTCGACATACATTATCAAAATTAAGTCACGCTTGTAAGTAAACTCATTATAGGTACCAGGATTAAAGCTATATGGATATAAGAAAATATAGTACAATTGATATGATTAATTAAATGCTGCTTCTCACAATTGCCAGCTTCAGATCTATTTCAATTGTCTGTGCAGGTATCAAGAATTATACATAATATCTTTATATTCTTATCCAATATTTTGAATATTCTGTCCCAGTCCCACAATATTTTGTTGGCATTGTTTTCTTACATTTGAATTTTCAAATATAGTATTTAGATAGCGAAAAATAGTATTTACTGTTTTACTGTTTACAAAATCCTCAGACACATCACAAAAAAAACTCTCTTTTACGCTTAAAGGCAGGCAGATGTCAGAATTTCTAATCCAGTATTTCATGGAAAGCAATATTTTTTGTACAACATTACATGAAATATCTGAAATTCGAACATAATTTACAATAACAAGAAATTACGTTTTCAGACACAGATTTAAAGCATATATTAAAATCCAAAACACCTTTTTCGTCTAAAATTAAATAACTGATGCATTGTCTAATAAATCTTAATGGAAAATATTTCTTAAAACCAAAAATAGGTGAAGTGTGACACTTTTAAATGACAGTATAAGAACTTTCAATGAACAAAATGAAACATAAAATCATCATAACTAAATTAATGTTAGGCTTTTCTGGCTTTTGTCTCATCATCTTATGTTTATAAGTTTCTACTACCATTGTGAACGAATGAATTTGCGCAAATTCTGCATCAAAATATTTTTGATACGTATATTCTCTGGTTTTATGATGAATTTTGGGGTAAGCAAGTTTTGATAAAATCGATGTCATTGTTTTTTTCCCACATGACAGTAATGTATTTTTAAATATATATGGTCAACATATGATATTTGATATAAGTTGTCCTTACACTTGTATAATATGTTATAAGATAACATATACCTTATTTTTGTGCAGGTGTTTAACCGATAATATGGGCCCCATCAGGGAGAAAAAAACAGGGAAATCGTCAAAATTTGATACAAAATAGTTGTAAGTTTGGTATCAAAAGTAAAATTATGACATGGAAAGGCTGTGAACTTGTCCGATAATCATACAGACAAAACATGACAGATTCCAACTTTTTAATAGAATTTACAAGTAAAAAAGAACGTTTGTTTAAACAGATGGTGTAGTTGAAAAAATATATTGATTCAAAATATGAAAATTTAAGACGACGTATTCTTATTCAGGTGCTAAATAATTTAAAACCATAATTTGTTTTTGCTTAATCGATTCATGACTAGTGAACAGCGGTATACTCTCTATTGCCTCTATTTAAAATCTGCATACTTTGCTCTAACTAATAGAATCTCAAATGAAGAAACAAGTTTTCAGAAAAAATCAACGTTTCTTATTTTCTTTTAAATTTGAAAATACCTCTAATGACCCAACAACCGTCCGAAAACATTAATACATAAAGTAAGATCTAGAAACCCGAATTCTTATAAGCAGAAAAAGTCATTTAAACACTGAAATATAATATTCGATGAACTAGTACATATTTTTGTTTAGAGGTTGCTGAAGCCCGCTTCGGATGTGGGATTTTCTCGCTGTGTTGAATACCCATTGGTGGCTTTATGCTATTGTCTGGTCTTTGGTCGGGTGTTTGTCTCTTTTCCGTTTCCATTCTCAATTTTATTGCTGTGATTGTAAGGAAAAACCGGCTTGTTTTATCGAAATGATGGCTCCCTAAGAGGGGAATAGAGGAATAAAGGAAAATGTCTCTTTGATTGAACAGGTTAATATGGTTGACACATAACTAACTTCATTAGACCTTGAAGAAGAAAATGTTGTGACTCCATGTCTTTTGAATGATTTAAAACCTTTTCTGTATAAAGGTTTTGTTCACCTTTCAGTTGATAATACTAATCTGTAACACGGTAAAAGTAACAGAGATACTGTTGATATAGTCCTTAATATTCAATGGCATTTAGCAACTGCATCTCGACATCTTATATAATCATTTTGTGGCGTATTGATAATATTGTATTGTGTAAGACCATTGCACAATATGACAATGAGTTAACGCTAATTCTAATGTCCACCACAATCTGATTTCCGGACTGATGCAATTCAATTAGGAATATTAATTAGTCATTTGTTTTCCTGAGTAGCACTTTCGAAGTCTACTCAGGCTGATTATTGTTCAACATGTTTGTCAAGAATTGTTCAACTAGTTAGCAATCAGTTGGCTAATAAGCAGTGTAAGTCACGTGCATACTATCATATATCTTCTAGTACTTATTAGAGGTTTTATAAGACATTCCAATGATTAAGGCATGAACTTATTTTTTATTTGTTTTATTTCTTTAGCACAGGAATCTTTCGGTTGCAATCCATTTGTGAGAAAATTTTGCCTATAAACATATGAAATAACAATAATTGGATTATACCCAGAACATTATTATGATAACTTATATATTATGATTAAAAAAATTCAATCTTATAAAGCCTGTGACATTACAAAAGAAAATATAAATAATGCGTTTAGAAATATTCTAACATTATTTTGAATATTAAACTTAAAATTGAGAATGGAAATGGGGAATGTGTCAAAGAGACAACAACCCGACCATAGATCAGACAACAGCCGAAGGCCACCAATGGGTCTTCAATGTAGCTATAAACTCCCGCACCCGGGGGCGTCCTTCAGCTGGCCCCTAAACAAATATGTATACTAGTTCAGTGATAATGGACGCCATACTAAACTCCAAATTATACACAAGAAACTAAAATTAAAAATGATACAAGACTAACAAAGGCCAGAGGCTCCCGACTTGGGACTGGCGCAAAAATGCGGCGGGGTTAAACATGTTTTTCTGAGATCTCAACCCTCCCCCTATACCTCTAGCCAATGTGGAAAAAACAAACGTACAACAGTACGCACAGTAAAAATCAGTTCAAGAGAAGTCCGAGTCCGATGTCAGAATAGGAAACAAAAGAAAATAAACAAAATGCATACTTTTTATTCTTACAATAAAAGAAGAAACATAAAAAACGAAAACGACCAAAAGACCAAACGATAAACAACAATATACAAACCCCAACATGCACAATGTTGAGATCTACAGAATGTGACAAAATCACAAAAAACCTGGGGTGATTTCAGGCGTTTTAGACGTATACAAAAAGTGTTTATCATGTTTCGTGTAAATAGTCTGACGAGTAAACATTTCCAATAATACATATATCAAAAAGATAAAAGGATGTGGTATGATGGCCAAAGAGATAACTCACCACCAGTGACAATGCCATAGAAGTTCCCAACGAATGTGGATTCAATCATTTTCGTGAGAAATAATTATCATGGATTGAGGAAAAATTGAGGAACAAATATTTCTTTTTATGGGTTTTGCCGATGTCTGCAGGCCATGCAGTTTATAGAAAGTTGTACTTCGTTGAACATTGAACATCTAGGATCATCCTTACCGACGAAAGCCAAGAAAATTGGTATCCAACTAATAATAATGAATCCACAGTATAGGTCACCTTACTACTTCAACAGTTAGCAATACCCATACCGCATAGTAAGCTATAAAAAGCCGCGAAAAACAAATGTGATATACAACAACAAAGGACAACCACTGATTTACAGGCTCCTAACTAGCGACAGGCTCAGAATGTGGCGGGGTTAAACATATTTACTTGCGCCAAATCCTTCCCGTAACCAGGGACAGTGGGTCGATTTTATGTAAAGTATTTTTTGTGGCAAAAAGGACACAAAATTAGATGTTCCTAAAGTAGGAATTCATATGTCGTGTTGGTGGAATAGCGTCACGAAAAAAAACATTAGATAAGTGATATATTCGAAAAGAAAAAAAACATACCGTATCAACTCATTTGAAAATAAGACAAATATAATATAAAGGCAAAATCATAAAATATATAGATCAATTAGTAATAAAGATATTGTTTTACAAACTGCGTCCAGATTTATACAGCGAGATATGTCAGATGCAGTTACAGATCTAACTTCTTCAATTGCAAACCCAATCGATGCATTCTCATACTACCGATTGATTCCATGTTGTATTGAAGAATTTATTTTATTTAAGAAAACAAAACTTAAAAAAAAAAACGATTATTTATAACAAACGGACCCCTCCCCATCGTTACTGAATATAACATGTATAAGTTTAACATGCAATATTTTGAAAGTCATCTCGATACGAATTTTTTCGTTTCACTGTATTTTGGGATCAACGACAGAATTGAATTCGTAGAAAAAGTAAAATTACAAAAATAATGAACTCCAAGGAAAACTAAAACGGAAAATTGCTTATAGAATGGCTCAAACACATCAAACGAATGGAAAACATACCTACTTTTTTTATTCAGAAATTCATCAAATATATCTTGTTTATAATTTTGTACAAGAAATGCTTGTTTTTGCTATACAAGATTCATCAGAGGCGTTCGAATCAATACTGTGTAACTAGAAATTTCAAGACCATTTAAAACAAAAAAATTAAAGCATAGTGAAAAATCTGGCTAAGCCCTGCTATGCATAGGTAAAGAAACCTTACTCTTTCAAATGATTTAAAATCTGATGAAATGGAAACTTACAAAACAACACCATGAAGGCACAGCAGTTGCCTCGACCCATTAGTTAATAAAAATTCATAAAAGATATCAGGATTAAAAAAAACTTGGTCTTTAAGCTCATTTAAATATTAAGATACGTCAATAAACATATCTAAAAGCTCAAAACTAATAAAAACTTGTTCTTATCTTGGTATTTTAATATAACAATTTGTAGCATGAATTTATACCAAATGCTGCTCTAAAAAGATAATGATAATAAGAAAAACATCTCAATAATCATTTTAGATTTATCACCTGATATATTGCTTAAAGGAAAGTCCTTCAAGAACAATAACTTAACAGTGTTTCAATTTATTTGCTCAACCAACATCGCAGTTTGGCAGTGCTCCGTAGAGTTTCTAATAGAGAAGATGACACATAATGATATTCGATATGTAAATAACACGTGTTACCATACAAATTGGATATGCTCTCCAAATATATGTTCATGTTCTGAGAGCTGCAAATCATTCACATGGAATGTTACAGTAAAAGAAGATATGAAGAACCATTCATATAGTTGTGTAACTAGAATGGTTACAGGGGAAGCAAAGTATTTAGGAAATATAACAGTCAAATGGAACGGCAATGATGGTAAGTATTCATTATATTTTTTTTCAATTAAACAATATCTTTGCACTGTTTCTATAAAATCTTACTTCTATTAAACTTAACAATGTACAGAGGGGAACTAAACTGTATCAACACAACTTTATAAAACAAAAAAACTGTATCAAAGAAAACAAGGTACATATAACAAGAGGATCTTTGAATTGTTTAACCTTTTGTCATGTCGAGAACTATAATAGTTGACTATACGGTATGGGTTATGCTTATTGTTGAATGCCGTACGGTGATCAACAATTACTACCGTTATTTGAACTTGTGCCAGGGGCAATCATGCCACATCTCATCTTTGACAACAAGGATATCAACTGAATTAAAAAAAAAATGTCCGTTTACTTTCTATAGGTTTCTCCATTTCTGACGAATATTCTCGATAACAACTTGTGAACTTGATATTGAAGTATTTATAACAAATCACTCTGCTTATTTCAATTCGGATAATAAGTCCTAACATGTTTAAGTGAATTGAATCGCAGTCAGACTTTTAAATTCGTGTAGCTTTATGTTAGAAATGTCACATTAAACAAAGAATAACCATTTCGTTGAATGATCCTAAAAAATCACTTTAAACAGATAAAACTATCCTATACATACATTTAAGATCAAAATCATGAAACAAAACAGACCTAGAAAAATCGTCATTAAACGATAGCACGTACTTGTCTGTTTGTCTTCGTTTATATTTATGTTTGTTTGGGGTAATATGACCGCCGTCAGTCTTCGGAGGTCACCTCGATCACCAATAAGATGGCATTTAATCTACAATACGCACGATTTCTGATTCATTCTAACGAGTCCCACGTATTGTTAATTGTTTCTTCTGGACTTTTTTTAATCTTGATATGCGTTTAATCATGTTATAGTTCAAATCGGTGAACAGGAATTTGATAGCATATGCCTCTTGACAGGAGATGTATAGTATACGTTAATAAAACATCAACCAAACATCACAACATATATTTTAAGTAACAGTTCAACAAAGGTCTTCACCAGTAGACAGGAGATTATGCCATTTGTCAAGTTCTTATTCGATCCTATTGTAAATAGTGTCAACTACATCAAATTTTCCATATTGTAAAAAAGACCACAAAAAAGATAAAATTAATATATTTCTATTTTGTACAAAGTCCTATAAAAAGTAAAAAAAACAAAACCGAAATCCGGGAAAAATTTAAAACGGAAAGTCCCTAAAAAAGCCAAAATCAAAAGCTCAAACACATTAAACGAATGGATAACAACTGTCATATTTCTGACTTGGTACAGACATTTTCTTATGCACTCAAAGCTTGTATATTAAGCGATTGATTTCACATGCCACGTATTATTACTTAGTAAGGTTAGCACCATGCTTTCCTGAAATGCTCGGAATTGACATGATCAATGCAATTTTGTTTTACGCTTTCTCGGATGAAATACATGACGTTATCATGATAAAAAGTAGACGGTGTAATTTTTCTTTATAGACATCAATCAACGATTACTATAAATATTTCAGTTCAGTCCTAGCTTATATAATAATCTACTTAAACATTTTTGTGATTTTCCTTTTCGAACTAAAAAGAAGTGTTTAAAGTATACGTTTGTAAAGATATTTACTACTGTGGTTGATGGTAACCTTATTTGAAAAATACCGCGTAAAGGTAAGCAATCTAAAAGTTGTTCTGGTAAGAAGTTATGATTTCACTTTAACCAAAATGGTAATAAATCTTCATCTTTTTTCCTGTTTCGATATTTCTGTTATAACGAAGTTATATTCAATTATTATATATTTTCAATTGGTATATACTTATATAAGATGATAATGGAAATAGTAACAACTCAGATGATGTAACATATTTAACAAACCATGTTTTAATACAAATTTGTAAACAAAAACATTTCCAGTGTACTTCAACCGTACAATGTCATAACAATTTGTATTACATACAAAATTGCTTCATATCATTTCGTGTCTATCTTTTTTGTCTTAGGATTTCAAACTCTTCAGAAGATTGTTGTTCCTGTTGATATTGTGACTCGGCAGCCAACTACTCCAAAGTCAGATTCTGGTGAGAATAATAGATATAAGATAAAACTAATGAACGAATAAGGTAGAAAGGTCACGTAAGAAATTCAGCAAGTCTACACACATAAATTAACAAAGTTTTTCACAGTTTGACAATGAAGTCTACAGCTTATCTCAACAAGTTTTTTGTCTGAGATCATTCAATCTGTTTTAACGGTTTAAAATGACTTCGATGCTCTATATATTTCAACAAAAAAGGAAAACAATTGTAATAACATGCCTAAATACAGGTTTATTTGCATATTTTATAGTTAAATGGATCATCATATCAATTACAGTTGGATCAGTTACATGCATTTGTGTATTTATTGTGTTGTCCTTAAAATGCCGGAAGATTTGCCGTTCAAAACGACACAAAGGTATAATATAAATTAAAGCAAAAGTAGTTTACCGCAGTTCAAATCTCGTAGGTGGATTAAGATTAAACAAACCAATGTAACTATCAAAAACTGAGGCAAGTGCAAGGAATCCAACAGGGAAAGACCAGGTGTGTCGAAAAAACACGCGTTTCCTGGTACATGTATACATACACGATTCGCCATGCGAATTTACAATAAACAGTAATGTATCGAAGTTCCGCCAAATATCAGACATCACAATTTCAGTAAATAAGGGTTTTCAACTTATATAATACTTTTCAGTAAGTTTTGTTTTACAACAAAATATAAGATAATAACTAGCATTTGTTGTCCGCAACAATTTGATGAATGTATATTCCAACAGGAAGTCAGTATACGAGTAAACACTAAGAGTGTAGTCCTGTTAATTGAATTTACATTCTTGTTTAACCTTTATAAGCAAACGAACCGTAAGGATGCTACCGAAACAATAATATATGCTTCATATCTTGATCCGTTCCTATATATCAGCAAAGATTGACGACTATTGCAAACGTAATGATTTAGATTGCCAATTTCCTATTTCTCACGATTCCTTCTAAAAATGTATATATGAAGGGAAACAACAACCCTTAACTCGCTGTCCAATTAGTCTCACCTGGTATTAGCACAAGATGAGTGGAAGTGAAACGTGTTGACATTATAGAGACAAATATTCTTACTAAAAATATCTAGGTAAAGTGATTGGCTGAATATTATAGCATAGTATAGCATTGTTGTTCATGCATAAATCGTACCCAATCACTATCCTAAATTCCATAACCCCCCTAATTCTACCACCAATGCATTCACACAATACCCACACATACAAAGACACAAATAAATGAATGAATTCAAACACAATGAAATAATTTTTATTACCATTTGCAAGTGTTAAGTGAAAATATATATCAACTTTTTCTTTTAAGAAATAAGTAATTGAAGATCATTTATATTTCAGCACCACAAGGCAGTGAAACGGAGATTCCAATCTATGTAATTCCTGACCAAAGCCATTTTTCAGGTTTGTAATTGTGTCAGGTTTGAAACGGAAAAGTTAAACAATATTTCATGTTTAATTAATCACCGTACAGGTTTGTGTTCCATATGTAGCTTTTTCGATGTCAAAAACAAAAGCATTTTATTGACCATAACAGTTTATAATATATCAAAATTTGGAATGTTGCAATAAATTCTATTTTATTGACTAAATGTCGTTCAGGAATTATGGTTTGCAATAGGAATATATATACTTATTAGGATATTTCACGCAAAGCATGTTAAGGAAATTTTTAAAGATTGTGTTGGAAAAAAGTATATTACTATTACTGCAAATAAGGCAGACGAAGCAATCGGATGGATTACCAATTCAAAATTAAGTGTCTTTGATGAATGTTATGCTCTATAAGCGCAATTTTATTATATTTTTTAAATGTTATTTATTAGCTATTTAGAAAAAAGAAATTTTTCGCCCTGAAAAAGGAATACATGTTAATTTAGTATATAACATATAAAAAGCATATACGTTTACTCAAAACATAAGTGATATTTTTCTTAAAATTTCAATATATATAACGTCTTGCAACACAAGAAGACAGTGAGATAAAGCATCAATTGTAATGACGCAAACCAAACTTTATTTCGCACGGCATCACATTTATCTAGAAGAACATTTGTTATAAATACTAAACACAAAAGAAAAACCTCTAATTTGACTTTATTATGCCAACAAAATTGAACAGCACATACTGAAGCTTTATCTAACGATTAACTTTGAATTTACACAATACTTAGGATAGTTTACCCCAAGAATAGATAATCTGATAGTGCGGTGACGGAATAGAAAAAAAGTCGAATATTAAAAGAGTTTAATTTCCCTTAATAATACACGGCTAAACATTTGCACAGTTCTAGAAAAATTATTTTACTTGAATTTAAGATTGGTCGTCAAAAAGTCGTATGGTGCATTTATTTTTATTTTGGCGTTTGGGTAGCAAACTTGACTTGAACTGCAGATCCTAAGTGGCATGCAGTTTGACTTGTTATTCAAAGAACGCACTCAAATATATTTCTTTTTTTATTTCATTCAAGCATCACACATAATGCTGTATTTATTAGGCGAAAAATGTCATCATAAAAGCCTGTTGATGACAAATTATGAAGGTATAAATTACTGTAAACTGGGACATTTTGTGTTCACCCGGATTCCAACATCATACAATAAAGCACTGATGAATAAATTGTATCGTCGTTACTACTATAAATATAAAACTGCAAGTTTTCTTTTCATATACACAAGATATAAGGTAAGATTCTTTAAAACGATATTTTTTAAACTTTCAAAATTTCTACTATTCAATCATTAAATTTCTGGAAAGTTGTGTCCCGTTCTGATTGGGCTGAATACCTAGTTTTCTGCATATATTTAGGACTTGATATTACCTGTATTTGTTGATGTTTCGCACCCAAAGTATAAAAACCCTCTGATATGTGACTGTTCCCACTCACCTTATATTTACAGCCATTATGGCCATGTTATTACTGGAGATCTAAACATTATACAACATGAACATCTCCGAAAGGTGATATCTCATGTTCCTAAGTTTAGAGAACCCCAACACATCAATTGGAACCATAACTTCAAAATAATTATGGATTCCATTGGGGATTACGCCAGAGCATGGGCTAAACGAGAAGAAGTTGAACTGGACACTTTGTCAGAATGGGTCAAAACAATCAGATCTCTGATTAAACGTCACATTCATAAGTTGAAAAACTGTGTGAATGATCGACCAAAGTCCGTTTTCAGAGACAAAGAGGCTGTGAAATGTCTATCATCTCTTCACGATAAGTATGTTGTTGTTCCTGCGGACAAAGCTTCAAATAATATTGTCTTTGTATGTAAATCATACTACCACGAGTGTCTTGTAAAAGAATAAGGAATAAATGAGCACTCAGGTAATCCCACATACAAAAAACATATCATTTGACAAGGATGAGATTTTGGCGAATCATAAGTTCTTCATGGATTGAATGAACATTACATTGAACAGCAAATCGGAGGACTTACCTTGTTTGTATTTGATACCTAAACTTCACAAATTTCCGTACAATTAACTGTATATTGCGGCTCATCTGCTTGTTCGACTAAAGAATTGTCCATTAGATTGACAAAAATTCTGTCCGCAGTGAAAGAGGGTCTTCAGAAATACAGTGAAACTGTTTACTCGCGTAGTGGTATAAACCATATGTGGATTCTAAAAAACTCGAAAGAACTTCTGGATAATTCTAAATCTCGATCTTTTTCTGAAATTAGTTCTATCAAAACTTTTAATTTTTCAACCCTGTATACCACCATTCCCTATTTGAAATTGAAAAATCGTCTAAAAGAAATAATTCACAATGCTTTTCAACATAAAAATGGTAGCATACCCAAAAATTTTCTACTTTTGGATACCATACGGCATATTTAGTGAACAAAAAGTTAAAAAATGCTACACAAAAGAACAAGTGATCAGTATGCTGGAGTTTTTTTATTGACAACATATTTGTTGAATTTGGAGGTAGACATTTTTAACAAATTGTCGGCATTTCTATGGGAACGAACTGTGCGCCTCTCCTTGCCGACCTCTTCTTATTTTCATATGAGTCGGAGTTCCTTCAGACACTTGTCAAAAACAAGAAGATCAAAGAAGCCAGATCATTTAATTTCACATTCAGATAAATTGATGATGTTCTTCCCATTCACAATCCTAACTTTTCTAATTGGATTCCATTAATATATCCCCCCAGAACTAGAAATTAAAGAAACAACAGACACGCCTTCCTCCGCCTCATTTTTAGACTTATACCTCGAATTTGACATACGAGGTCATCTCAGTACCAGAATCTATGGCAAACGAGACGATTTTAATTTTGAAATTATCAATTTCCCCCAACTTAGTAGCAATCTACCAACTTCACCTGCATATGGGATATATATTTTCCAACTGATTCGGTATTCAAGAGCTTGCAGCTGCTACTCAGACTCTGTAAAACGTCACCAGTGTCTGACTAGAAAGTTGATGAACCAGTGGTATGTCAAAGAACGTCTCGTCCTTTTTCTAAAAAAAGTTCATCGGAAGATACCAAGACCTTGTTGATAGATATTCCGTATCAACTTCACAAATAATACACGGTGGTCTTGAAGTATAGATTCTTGGTACTGACGTTGTTTATCATCTTAATAACGTGTTCTAGTATTCTTTTCTTTCTCTTTATGGATATTACTTTTACTGTTTAGTCTATTCTTGGTGATGTCCATTTGACGTGGCTCTGTACTTCTCCGTCATTGTGTTATTGTGCTATGGTAAATTTGTGTATTCTTGTCTTTCATTTTTGCTAATGTGCTTTGTCTATATGCCTTTTTGTGTTTCTTTGTTACATATTTGTTTGTTTTTATAGTGATTGTGATTGAGATTATAACACAATGTTGACTGCTGTACCCCTATTTTTGACATTTTTACCTATTATGTATGTTTGTTTTGTTCACACATCGTTGTCAATATAATGAAGATTTATGCGACTGTCATACAAGTGAGAGGTTTAGCTAGCTATAAAACAAGGTTTAATGCACCATTTTCTACATAAGAAAATGTCTGTACCAAGTCAGGAATATGACATTTATTATCCATTCGTTTGATGTGTCTGAGTCTTTGATTTTGCCATTTGATTACGGACTTTCCGTTTTGAATTTTCCTCGGAGTTCGGTATTTTTAATTTTTTTTACTTTTTATTGGTTAGTTGTTTTTTTTGGTGTCCGTAATTCTCTTTTGAGGTTGTGTTGATAAAGCGGTATTTTTAGAAGAGGCAAACTAAGTTTTTCAGTCGTATGTTTAAGAAATGGAGTTCCGACAAAATCTAAAAAATATGACAAAACTGGGAAGTCCGTTGAAACTTGGCTTTAACATTTCAAAGAAGCATACATTAAGTTAAATCCTTAAATAGTGTTATTTCCTCAAAAAGCAGAAGTGGAATAATTGTTTTATTTTCCACTTACAGTTAAGCGCGGTATTTTGACACAATTGATAGGTGTAAAGATGAAATTTACTTGAAAGTGCGCGGATGATTGTGACTTTGGTTCATTCGATTCGTTTGGAAATTGTTTACTATAAAAGTCTATACGACTGGTGCATTAGTCAACACAACATTACGGTGTTTACGGTCCGCATTCCAATTGAAAATGCAGACCCTTTTCAAAGACCAAAAGAACACCATTTTGCATAGCTTTGATTTCAAATTCAAATATACTGAAGATTTCCTGTCACTCTATAACCCACATTGCAGTCCTATATTTCATATACAGCTACTAAACCACTCAACGTTCCCTCTTACACGGAATGAACACGGAACGAACACGAGAATGGAATGAAACGAGAACGAACGATTTAAATCAGTCAGCATCGTGTATCTCCACTCATTTCGTTTATTGAAGTCAAATCGTTTTTTGCCGCTCAAGTCGTGTGTGAACGAAACGATCAATATATTTCGTGTAAACAAACGTGTCCCGTTCAGAAACGATACTATCTCACATGATTGGTTGTTTGGCGATTATGCTAGTTTTCGGATTTCCAAATGAGACGAATAAATGTACTCAAATTAATCGGTAGATTATACTACTCATAATTGTTTACGATATTATGATACTTTTATTCATAGCACTATTTCGTTTTTGCATTTAAAATAAAAATGATAAGTCTGAAATGAATAGATAAATAGATACATAAACACCATAATGAGAAATTAAGAAAGACTAACAAAATCAATCTAAATATCAAAATATCTGCTCTACTTTTGCCGGCTAGTCATACGAGTTCTTTAAAAAATATATATTACTTGTAAAAAAAAATATTGACACGAACATTATTTATTTTATTATTCTTTTTTATTATTAAAGTTATCACTATTGTCATTTGTGTCTATTTATTTTTCTTTAGTGATCTTCATACTAATTAGTGAGCTGTACATCGGAAAAGACGTGAACAA